AGTCTGATACTGGGCGTGGTTTTGCAATCGCACGAAATTACTATAATATTCAGTGATTATGTTATTATATGTAGAAGTTAATATATTTTATTTAAACAAAAGATTTTTAATATTAATATATTCATTATAAGCTCTTGTTAGATTAGCTTATTACGTTAAAACATAAGTCAGAAGATCCCTTAAGCATATCATAAGCATAGGTATCGAATAAATTAACCGACTTGTTATTACATATATTTCGAAGTTTTTACTGTAGAAGAACAGCAAAACTAGTTTTGTACAAGTTGTGGTTTTTATGTCATATGTATTTTGTAATACAATTCATATATTTCTCTCTGAGGGGCAAACCGATGTTCACGCGAACGGATTCGAGGGCACACACGAGTGACACACATTGAGATTAGTCATTCAACGAGGATAAATATGTTTTGTTTTACAGTAAATGAGAATCTTGAATATTTTCCAGTTTGATTGTTAACATACTAAATTAAATAATGCACTAATTAACTAGTTTTTTTTGTTAAAAAAATTTAATTTCCACTTCGGAGCATACTTTTTCTTGTTTATACGTAGTTACATAAAATTATTTTCAATTTGATTGTAATCTTAATATTGTTAATAATTAAATGAATTTATTGTTAAATAGAAAATAGAATAATGAACGACTTTCCATTTGACAGTTGCATTAAGATTTGAATGGGAAAATTTTATTACTAACTTTAAGGAGTATTTAAAATGATCTGACGTGTTTATACTTAATAAGGAAGGAGAAAAAAACAGTCATTCAAGAATCTGGCTTACATTAAAAGCTTTTCTTTCACTTACAAACATAGCAATTTTATTAGCAGAACCAATTAATAATGGAAATGAAATTAAGTCATGCCGTCGCAATATTTTAAGGAAGACTTAGTTTCTATCACATGCATAGCTTCTACAAATGATACCAAATACGTGTGTGATAAATGAAAACTTTTAACTTATATAATAGTTCAACTTTGATGAAAATAATTATATAAAATCTGAGTGCGTAGTACTAAAATATAATATGAGAGTGAATAAACAATATGAGAGTGATTAAAATGTAGTAGATGACAAATTCATTCACATCTCGTCTGCCCGTGATCACGGTTGCTGTATAGTAACCGAAACGTAAGTATGTAGTTTAAATAATAAAAAACACGCAGTAATCTGAAAATATTAGATTAATTTATGTGAGCTTATATAAAATATAAATAAATAAAAATAAAATATAAAAACGGTAAGTTTTATCGTAAGTCAGTGGTGGCCTAGTGGTTAAGGGGCCCGCCTCTCGTTGCCGAGGGCGCGGGTTCAAACCTGTCAAGTACCAATGTGATTTTTCGGAGTCATATGTACTTTCTGAGAGTATTTAGACATCACTGACATACGGTGAAGGAAAACATCGTGAGGAAACCTGGACTTATAGTTTCACAATTATAAGTTTGAAATCACCAACCCGTCTTGAGCAAGCGTGGTGATTAATGCTCAAACCTTCTCCATGTGAGAAAGAGGCCTTTGCTCAACAGTGGGCTCTGATAGGCTGATGACAAGTTTTATCAGAAGAATATTTCTGACCAAAATTGTAGATCATAAAATTATCTATAACAAATGTATCAATACTTCTTTTCTTACGAGCCACCATTTCGGAGATATAACGATTCAAAAAGTTATAAAAATGTTATCGTCATAATATGCATGAGTACGACACGTATATACATCTAGAGTTGTTATATTTTATATATATAACAGTCAGTGGTGGCCCAGTGGTTAAAAGGCCCGCCACTCATGCACGAGGGTGCGGGTTCGATCCTGGCCCGGGCAAGTACCAATGTGATTTTCCCGAGTTATATGTACTTTCTAAGAGTATTAAGACATCACTGATTAATGCTGATTCCCAAAGAGGTTTGATGTCAGGCAGGAGTCCAGTCGTAAAAACAAATAGCCAAAACTATTCACAACATGTAAGGCAGATCCTGGCTATAGCTGGGAAATTGCCAGGTAGAAGAAGAAGATTTATATGTATACACATATATAAATATTGATTTATTTCTGTAAACTTTTAACTGAAAGCGAAGTTGTTACTGTTGAACGTGGTATTAATTAATGCAAGTATCGAAAGAGCTGATGATTTTTTGAAATATCTCAAAAATCAGAAATCTGTGACAATATATGAAAGTTGCCGTAAAAATTATACTCGAAAGTCTTTCTTTTTCTGCTGCTAATAAAAGACAACGTGAAGAACAAGAAGTCAGTACATCCACAGCAAGTTCTCCTCTTACTACATCAATTATCAGTGAATCAAAATCCCCAGATTTTCGGCGTCGAATCAGCTGACTGTTATATATATATATATTATAAAACAAGAAGACCCGGCGAACTTCGTATCGCTCTATAATCAAGAAGTATCTGTTACGTTTTTTATTTATATTTTTGGGGTTTACCTTTAAGCCATAAATCTCCATGTTTTGAAGTGCGACAAAATAATTGACATATTAGTTAGTTGTCAAATCTATTGAAAAAAAAAAACGTTTGTATGGGAAATAGAAAAGTGCTGTTTGTAGGGTTTTCCCGGAAATGAATCAATTTTGTTCAGTTTTAAACCTTCCCTAAACCTCCACGAACATTTCAAGACTAAGATAAGATAAATCCGTTCAGCCATTCTCGAGTTTTAGTGAGACTAAAGAACAGCAATTCATTTTTATATACATATAAAGATTAAAAAAACATTGTCCAGAGGACAAAATTGTGAATCTAAACCATTCCCAGATCCCCTTGAATACACACAAAAAGTTTCATGTCCAGTCGTTTGAGAGAAGTTCAGTGACATACACACTCACAGAAGAATTATATATATAAAGATATAACAACTCTAGATGTATATACGTGTCGTATTCATGAATATTATGACGATAACAACTTTTATAACTTTTTGAATCGTTATATCTCCGAAACGGTGTCTCGTGAGAAAAAAGTACTAGTATATTTCTCATAGATAATTTAATGATCTACAATTTTAGTTTGAGGTATTTTTCTGATAAAACTTACCGTTTTGCTGAAAATCGCGAAAAACTCATTTTTTTGACATTTGACCTTGAATAAATTTTTTTCCACATACGGGAATGATGGGGAACTTTCAGCTATTGTTTATAATCGTGTTTTGAAAAATTGTACCGAAATTCAGCTTGTTGCGAATTTATGTAGCACCGAATGTCTAATTTGACCGGACTACAAGTCATCGAATATATGTATTTGTCGTGTACAACTCATTCGTTCTTAATGTTAATTAACTCTCAACTTAATGTTTGGGATATCCAAAAATATGTATTGAGTTATAGACTATGATCAGAAATGGTGTATTAATGATGAAGTCTTTTTAATGAAACTAATATTTTAATGTTATATGTATGTAGTTTTTAACAAGAATAAAATAAGCGTAGTAATCCGAAAATATTAGTTTCATTTAAATGAATTCTCACAAGTCTTAGATCTCATCATTACTCTGTTATGTTCGTTGTGCTTGACTGCGCGTGTTTTTTTCTCCTTAATTGGAAGTATCTTATTTTGTATATGTGAGCTGGTTTAATAATTAGTAGATGATGAATAATATATGCTAGTTGTAGTAAATATACTTCATTATTTATTCATTTGAACTTCTGATTATGTGCTGGAAGAATAGCGTTTCAACTTTAATGTACAGTTGGCTTTACATCGGCTTTGATAACTTCTAACGATATCAAATAAGTTTTAATAGATACACTAAAATTTGCGAGCAAAGTTGTTATATTCGGAATTTTATGGGTAGCTCAATAATCTAAAATTAAATACAAGGACTTTTAAAATAGTCAAAGTCTAGAATATGCTAAAATGCCACGCAAATTAATTAAAATTTAAAATGAATTGTTAATTTTATTCAAGAAAAATTTCCATTATAATTAGTTTATGTAATCTTTAAAATATCAAACAAAAGTCACCAGAACTGTGTGTAATACCACTTGTAAGGAATCTTAACTTAAGTGTAAGAAATCTATTTAACCAATTGCTTACAATATTTTATTAAATAATTCCTAATAACCTTTACGTTAAAATAATATAATTAACAAAATTAATAGTTACATCAATATGTTTGGTTTTAATTTCTTTTAAAATAGTTATCAGGTTATCACATACAATCAAATTCTGGTTGTAGCAAATTTTTTTAATCACAGACGGCTCGTGCAAACGAGTTTTAGGTATCCTCCACACTACACGCTATACGTAATACACTACAAGCTATAATATATATAATATTTATTTAGTTTTATAATGTCAAAATAAACTTTAGTTTGTAATCATTTATTTATACGGTATACATTAACGCGTTATAGCGCATATAAAATCGCTTTTTACGAAGAATTTACATTGCAAAAATATGTATTTAATTCCAAAATTACATGATAAAGATTTTGTAAACACAAGAAAAAAAATTGAATGAACCTTGGTAGCGTCTTATAACCTTCTAATGATATTATTCGATAATGACCAATTTTATAAGACCTAGTTTTATTTAAATTGATTTGAAAAACTTCCAGATTTGATGAAATTTGTCTAGTAAACTTTAAATGTATTGTCTGCTTGTATGTAGTTTTTGTTCACATACAACACATATTCACTTGGGAAACACATTTTGACGTGATAGGGCCCGCGCCCACTGCCGGCAAGGCACGGTAAATCATGGCAAAGGATTTTAATACTAATTAAGTTATTTTGAATCTTATTTCAATGAGTTTAGAAATTATGTTACTTTATTTTGATACCACGATGCCGTGACGTTGCGCAGGATGGTGCGGCATGATGCGACACGCCACAGGATGCAACGGCATGACGTGTTATGCTGTTTCATTCCACGGGATGCCCCGGCGCGCCATTGCATCCCGCGAGACGTATGGGTCACTTTGGGGTCGAGGAATTATGATTGCTAGCTAGTTGAAATAAGGTTGAAACTTATGCAGCATTTCGGTGGGGCAAAACTGATGGATGCCAGAGTGGCTGGGCTTTCAGCAGGATGCCACGGCATGCCACGGAACGCCGCGGGATGCCGCAGCACGCCGCGGGATGCCACTACACAACCTGCCGTGCCATGCTGTGCCACGCCGTCAGTGAGCGCCGGCCAATAACGTCTTTAAAATCGTTTTAGTCGGGTGACATGTTCAGAAACTTGTGTCACACCAAAACCTCACGAGCGCGATCGCAGGTATAACGAGAGAGAGACGGACCGATCTCCCGTCTCATCTCGAGCGCTGCCAGTCGTTCCGTGAAACTTGTCACGCGGAATCCTCACGAGCGGAGGCAGGCATAGCGTTCGAGTGAGTAGACCGATCTTCCCTCTCTCTCACTCTAGCGTATATCATAGTCGAATAAGTAAACTTATCATTTTACACCCGAAATTTATCATCAAAAGTGTGAATAAAACGATAGATGTAATTTAAAATTTGAATAAATTGTTATCTTCATTAATTCCTTACTTCCCAAAAACTTATATCACCAATAAGACGTTATCACATAAACATCTCGATCGCAAAACCTACTTTACAAACAACCAATTTTTTTAAATATATTATCGGATATTCCCAATTTATAAACAATAGGTGAACATTATTGAGATAAAAATAACTTTATATTTTTTATAATATGATAAGATTAGACTATATTATTTAAACATTTAAGTTGCAAATCCTAATTTCGTCACTTAAGGTGTCAAAAAATTTATGTATATCAAGCTTCACATAGTTTAAGTCCGTGTGAGTCATTTTAATTAAAATCATTATTTTCCTTTTAATTTAGTTACATCTGTATAACAGCGGGTACTGTCATATATTGTTGTTATTATTTTAATACGAGATCTCATTCAGTATTAAACAGGCAACTGTCGCGTCAAGGTCCGCACAGATCTACGTTATTATAAAAATATGAATCTGTTTTAAAATATTGTGTTGAATTGTGATTTATATAATGGATTTTGGATATTCATTTAAGGTATGATATAATATTATATTATTACGAAAAATAATTTAACATACGAAGTAATTTACACATTGATCAATGAATCCAGTTTCATTTACCCACGGCCAGCTATATAAAAATATATAATGCAATACCAACCAGTTTTAGCGCTAACTTTGTGTGTAAAAATTATATACTAAATATATGTATATAATTGTTTTAAACTTTATATAATGAGGTAATAGTCCTTTGTGTTTGTGTGTGTACATAAAAAAGGTATAATCTTAACTAGTAAATGTGAAATTAATATGGGTTACAACAAAGGCAAAATCTATGTTATATATATGTATGTATATACATTTATATATCGTATATAAATATTATACAAAGACTTCATAGTGTAACATTTTTGTTAATATTTATTAAGATTTATAATAAAGTGACATAAGCATCTATCCTCTTCAAGCTATAATGCGTCTCGTTCTTTAAATGTCAAAGTTGCTAACGATTTCTTGTCTAATGTGTAAAACTTTTTTACTATGATTAATCGCTTACTACTAGTCACTGATAAAACTTTTTTACTATGATTAATCGCTTACTACTAGCAGTATATTAAAATTATTCGATGTTATTAATATTGGAGATTATAGAATTGAAAATATATGCATTTTAATATTTTTTAAGATAAAAAACAGATATTTCAAAGATACATAGTTTTTTTTCGAGAAAAAAATGTTTTTTTACCCAAAAAATATGTTAAGACAAATAAAATAAAGGCTGAAAGTAGAATAATACAAACTTATTTATCAAACTATACAAAATTATTTTGTTATGTAAGATTTAATGTATCGTGTTAACAGAGTTTTGGTTATATATTTTTTTTAAATCATCCAAATTCCCCTTGATAGTTTTAAAGTGCGATTTAAACGTAAATCTTAATCTACGGTTCTTAGTTTTTTTGTATCAACTCTAAGATATCAAACTCAAATGAGTTCTATGTATCACAAAATATCTGCACTGACACTGAGCTCGCCTTTGGTAATAGTTGAATTTGTGTAAAAAGATGATTAAATGACCGTGAAATGAAATAATACTCTAGTAAAATGTCGTAAGTTCTATAATTATAAGAAAGAAATTGTATGATAACTGGTCCGGATAGTAAATTGAAAAATGTGTATCGGTTGTTAATGATAATAGTAATAGTAGTAAAAGTGATTAAAGGAGATCTAGTACTGAATGGTATGGGTGCATATTGATCTCAATAAGATGATTATAGAGTAAAAGAAAATCTTTGGGAAGACTTTGATATTGTGGTGATCGGTAGCGCTGGTAGTGAAGTGACATAAGTTGGCGGAGATTTTAATGCATGTCAGAGAAGAGGGAAATATTTTTATGTTCAAATTGTGAAGCAGAGGCCACACTCTACGTGGTTACTGCTTGTTCTAGTCACTTAAATATGAAGAATGAACAATTTGTGTAACCAGATGGAATACTGGTGAGATTTCTTCATAAAATTATTACATGGAGAAGTGAAGTGATAAATAGTGTAACAGTGCACTGGTATGCATCTTTAAAAACAAAAGTTACGTAAAGGCGTGTGATAATATTATCGAGGAAAAACCTGTCGCTTTGTATGATTGCTTTGGAATATGTTTATACAACAATACAAAAAGGTACCAGAAGATTTTAACTTCTCGGTCTTATAATGTCGTATGGGTTATTTCACTAAATAGTTAATTTAACAAATTTTTTATAGGCACATTTAAATAAACCGATAAAGTTTAAAAGTATACATATATATTTAATACTGTATATGAATAAAATGTAAACATCTACAAGTGAATTAAAAACGTAAAGTATTTGTCAAAAATACAAACATTAATATAAAAATATCACCTGAACTCTGTTAAATCAATACATGAAATCTGATATTTAGAACTTATATTTCATTAATGTAGTAAAAACTTCATGTTATTTTCATTTCAGTCTTTTTTTAGTTTTTTTTTAACATTTATTTTGTGGGTAAAAATTACCAAAATATTTCTCGAGAGAAACTATGTATCTTTGACATTTCTTTGTTCTGTCTTAAAATTATGGATATGTATGTATATATTTTCAATCCTCACCAATATTAATTACATCTAATAATTGAGTCATCTAATATCAAAGGCGGCAATAACCATTTCGTTGAATTTTATGTAAAGTTATAAAAAGGGGTTTTGTGAAAATTATTTATTTAGGGTTTGTTACGCTTCAAACTTTGAGCTCCATTTTCTATGGGATAATGCCATAATTGATGCGTAATATAGATTTCCATACAAAACTACGTCCATAGTTATTTTTTGACCTTAAATGTATATTGCCTTTGTTAATAGATGGCTCAATTTTAATATATAAAACAGAAATCATTTATAAATGTTCATCAGATGCTGGTGTTTAGCCAGGTTCTGGCCATCGTGTCGGTTGCCGCGGACCTGGTCACTGCCCAACCAGACAACTTCACGGATTTAGACTTAACGCCTGTAACAGGTATTAAAGAAACATTATAATATAAAAGAAAAACACTTCTACATTACAACCTACTATTTCTTGAAATATGATTTACCTTGTCCATTATTTTCATAAAATCTTGTTCCCTGAAACCTATATACGAGATATAAATTTCGCCTATTTTATAATATAAATCTTTAAATGAATACCAAAAGTAAAATAAGAATGCCAAGAATAATCGTTACCTCATTTTAGTTGCAATAATAATTATATTCAGAACAACTCGAATTTTTGACAAAGAGACGAAAAAGAGTTTATTGTTAATTAAGTTGAAACTTCATATTATTTTCCTGATCATTTTTCCAATTTCTGTTCAAGTTCCATTTTATTTCTTCAGGAGCTAACCTTAAATCTCATTATTGTTTATTATAGTGAATTCTTCAGATTTTTTACCTCATTTTACTTAGATGATGACGAATCTAGTATGAAGTGACGTGAATTGTACTTTTTCGCTGACGTTAATCGTTAAGTTTATAAGGAAAATAAAGTACTTAGTAGTACCTTATCTTTTGCTGAATTTCAAGCTTTTTTAGTCCGCAAACAAATGAATGCTTATTTATTTTCATATAAAGATCACACTTGTTTCATAACTTTTCCGTATGTTTTCATGTGATGAAACATATGTCATATGTATTGATTCTTATTGACAATGGCTATAAAACTCATGGGTAGTTTTACTTCCTTAAAATTAAAGTGAAAGGTCATTGTAAAAGATTGTTTATCTTTTCAGTCAGATAAATTATTAGAAGTTCTGTTGCCGACCCAAATATCCGAAATACCATTAGAATCAATAGTAGAAATTTGTTTAGTCTCCCGTTTCATAAACATAAGTTAGTAATAAAATCATTGTTTTTTCTCTGATATTAAAATGTCTAATTTTCATCTAATCTGCCCCTGATCACGGTTGCTGCAAAGGAATCCAAAATTAGTTTAAAATAATTAAAGAAACGCGTATGTAATTTAACAAAAAAATATTTTTTTGCATCCTATAAAAGTATGAGGTCATAGTTCCATAATTTGCTTCACACGATTGGTTTTTTATGAAACAGAACAAAACAATTACCAAAATTAATCAAATATTTATACCTGAGATTAATATAATTATTTAAACAATCGTGTTTCCGTATTTAAAAAAATAAAATTAAGGTTATATTTGAAGTCAAAGGTTATATTATTATAAATATTACTTATAATGTTATTAATTCCGATAAAATAATTTTACTTCGTATCCTACAGTCAGTGGCGGCTGTACCTTAAGTGCACTCGTGCGCTGAACCACCAATTCAAAATATTTAAAAATTACAAAATATTATGTCATCTTAATTTTTAAATTACCATTTTAATATTTATTTTTTAAACATACAAAAAGGTATAAAAAATTTAATTTCCAATTATGGTCAAAAAGTTTGAGCGCTTTACTAAACTCATATCGTGCGCTCCGGCGAGTGCACGAGGACTGCTAATACATCTTGTATGAGACACGCATCAACACGCCTGGCGCGTGAGACAAAAGATAGTTCATAGAAATGTACCGAGTAACGAGTCGGTTCTCGAGCGCCGCACGAAGCGGCCGAAGGTTACCGAGAGCACCCGATGTCTGACGTATTGAGCCGGCCGGCAAGGGGCCGGCCGAAAGGATGGGTGCTATGATTGACATTTCGTTAATCGTTATTGGTATTGTTTCAACTTTCACTGTATGCGTGACGCGTTAATTCGTTATTGTTTATAATTATTTCCGTAATTCGTTATAGTTTTTATTTCGTTTCTATAATAGAACTTTTATTCTGTACTGTGTTTTTTTTAGTTGAAAATGAGTATAAATATTGATTATATTAAAGAAAATAACAAAATTTTTCAAAGTAAAGTGAACATAAAATTGGCCGGGCCGCCACGGCCCTTTTTAAATTTAAAACAAGAGTGTAAATCGAAAAATAAAGCATTTATACGAAGTTTTAAAAGTGAAATGTATAATAGAAAGAAATGGTTGTGTGGATGTGAGCGTCTTAATACATTCTTTTGTTTTCCTTGCATTATTTTTGGCGGAGAATCGATTTGGACAGAAACTGGAATCAGATTTTAATAAAAAGGTGATAGAACATTTCGCTACAGAAAAATGTCGTCGCATTGATTTAATGTACAAAAAATAAACATATTTTATGTCAATTGTTGTTTTTGTCAATATTTTAGTAAAGTGAACCACCAGTTCGATAACCCACCAGCCGCCACTGCCTACAGTAAACAACAATTAATGTACATATATAAAACTGACATATGTATGTATATTTTCAATTATATGTACAAAATAAAATCATTTCCATATTGCTGCAACATTATTATATATTATATACGTATATCTCGATTTATGTATACAAATTATTATAAAGTATATGAAATATTGGATAATTTAGAGGAAAATAATACATGTAAGTTTTCAGACCACTTTGGAAAATATGTGAAATGCACAACGAAACACGGTAAAGAGGGTCAATGTGTGAACGAGAGATTCTGTAATCAAGAACACGTTATTTTACCAGGTGGAGACATTGATGACGTTGATCTCAGGTAAAACTTTGAATAAAAACTTAGATAATAAATATAAGAACCCAGAATGTAACAAGCAAACAAAGATTTTATGTAACCGAGACATAAGTAGGTTTAGGTTTATTGAAATAACGTATGTAACCCATTTTGTAATAATTTTAAATTTGGCAACATTATGAGAAAATGTATAAACTGATTCACTTGCTCGAATGAAAGACAATAATAAATTAATACTAATTTTACGAAATCAGCTGTCACGATGTGAACATTTTCTAACGAGAGCTTTCACTTCAGCCCTACTCCGTAGTCATAAGTAATGCGACACGTGATAGATAAACATAAAAATTGGAGAAAATGTAACTTACTTCAAAAAGAGGGATTTATTTAAATGTTTCTATATAATTGTATATTAATATTTTTCAGAGAAAAACACGTTTGTGTCGGGGAACTAGACTGGTGTTGCTCGGTGGAATTATTGAACACACCTACACCAGCCAACGCCGCACCAAATGGTAAGGGAAATATCTTTCTGGTTATTTTTTTTGTCAATTTGTTTTTATTTATGATATCTTTATTTTTTAAGTATGCAACAATATTTTCATATATAATTTCTAACGAACAAAATACTTACTTATCTATGAAATGTTTTTTTATTTACAAAAGAGTTGCATAAATTTTAAGTATATCTACGTTTAGACTACTTATAGCTGTGCTTTTCTATATGTGTATAAACATTTTTTAAATATTAACCCAGTCTTTTAGTTGCAAATAGTGATTATTTTCTGTTAGTCATTCTTAACTATCACCATTCCAGATACATGCCTAGCGACAAACGATGAAGAGAGCTCCTGGACTGTGGCGCTGTACAAGTTAGTTACAATATACTTATAATAATAAAGAAGAGAGTTTTAAAGAATGAATATGAATGAATGTTGGTTTAAATTCTACATAAGAAATTAAAGTAGAAATCATCTTAAAAGAGCGCACTAAATTGCCGTCGGATAATTGTTTTACCATTAGATAGACCTTAGTTATTACCATGTTTTTTATCAATTAAAATTAAATCGATGTTTGTTGATGTGATTTATAATATTAGCTTTTCAATTCTCTCTTAACTTGTGCTCTTGTGTTCAAATGCTCTATAGATTTCGATTCATTTGTATATCAACAATACCAAAAATAAGTAACATAATAATTTCATTGCGGAACTCTAAGACTCATAGTTTTGCAGGTTCCAACCAGATAATCCACAATCATCGCGTTTATTCTGCGCGGGTGTCTTGATCTCTTCTAACGTGGTGCTCACTTCGGCGACATGTCTTCTATCAGCACGTAACCACATACTGTATGTTCACGCGCCCGCATCAACCGTGCAGAACAATTACACGGTCAAATACCGTGTAGCCCATAAAGATTATAATTCAGGTATTAAACTATGACGTATATTGTCATGAAAATTTTTGGGAGTATGGAAAATTAATCTGACATTACAATAGGTTTTTTTAATTTAGCGTGTTCATTGAACTGTTTCGGAATTAAGTAGTTTTTATTATTCTAAAGTTTTTTTCTTCTGCTACATGCCTTATTGAAGTAGATTGTGTTAAAAAAAAATTATCATACCATACCAACTTTGACAGAAAGATCACTGTAAACTTGCTGAAACGAAAAAGTAATACATAGCAAGTTCATAGTTTGGCGTTAGTCCAATTTACCTGTTTGTTTTAATTAGAGATAAATTCAAAATCTATCATATATTTTTCAGGTACACATGTACATGACTTCGGTATTTTGGTGCTGGAGAAAAACGTTGAGTGGGGCAAGGAAAAGCCAAGGAGTGCCTGTCTCGACTTCACAACCAAATTGCAAGGGGACTGTTTAGCAACAGGATTCAGTAGCGACTTTGAAATCACGACGGTAATTATTACTAAGAAATTTATTGTGCCTGCAGTCCTTCTCGCGGAAGAAGCGAATCTTCATAATGTTGAAATGAAAATAGGAAGTGGTTGAAATTGATTTTTAAGGATTTTTTCAAGTCACAATGGATTGTCCACATGAGTTTGAGCCAGGAATTCCCTCTCGTTCTATCTCTTGAGCGAAATTATTCTTTTTCTTCATTTTTTTAGGCGGTAACTAATGTGTAGAGTATATTTTGATTAAAACAGTCACAAAAAAACAGAATATTTCTGTACACTTCTCTAAAATCATTTGAAGTTAAAAAATTACTACGTCTGAATTTATCGAACATACACATTCTCACAAGAATCTTATTAGATAATTATGACAATTTTAATTCCTTTCTTTGAATCTGAACTAACCACCATAAATTTCATCAAAAATATTTGCAAATCTGAAACTCTTTACAATGTTAACAACATCATCAGTAGTTTAGAATGTCATATTTATTTTCGTTGTTTTAAACGTCTGTTATATTTCAGACATTATTGTCAGTGGAGCAGAAGGGTTGTGGTCCCAGGCAGGACCCGGGCGACGTGTGTTGCGGTACAAACGTTAGTGACGATGACGATTGCATCATTACACCCGGTGCACCAGTGCTTTGCCTGTCTAGTGTAAGTATTTTAAGAATTAACTAAATAATACTAAGGCGTATACAAGCAATAATTACATTTCATTCTATATATTAATTTCTTTCTCTGTTTTATATTGTGTATAGATTATGTGTGGATATAACTATTTCTTTGCAGTATTTCTTAAGCCTAAATGTTATAGGAGTAGCATGTATTAGTCTGTTATTAAAACTGCTTATATCTTTTATACTTCTATGTTAAAACTCTTTCCCCCTCTTTTTTATCTCCCTCTTTCTTTCTTACTCTCTCTCTCTATCTCTCATTCTCTAGTAATATATGTTATTTAAATGATAAGTCTTTATTGTTTGTGTCTTCCAGGACAAAGTGTTCACCGTTGTTGGAGTGTCAAGGTCGATTTGTAAAAATAACAAACAAGTGAGCATCGGAGAACTGTCAACAGTGAAAACATGGCTTCAGAGCGAATTAGTAGAAATTAATCTCCTACAAAATGTGTACACTTATAAAAAGTTATAATATTGTGATTTAAACTTTAATCCAGATTTAAATCTAGATCTATATCGAGATGATGACGACTTAGGAATTAAATATAGATTGAAATGTATTATTTAAAATAACAAGAAGCAACCTCCTTAATATAGTTGTAAATAATAATGTTTATGTTATATTTTTAAGCGTTTTATTTTCTATAAGTAGGTTTAATAGCAGTTTATATCAAACCAATTGAACAAGTCTGCATGAGTTTTAAATTTAAGAACAATTGATTAAATTCATTCTGAGTATCAAAGGAAAGAATCTCAGTATATTAATATAACTACAGTTGGGTAAACATATACTTTATGTATTACTTATTTTAAAATTATGTCATAAATATAAATCTTTATGTACTCTAACGTCATAGACTTTATTATATGTTAATATTTAATTTAAAACGAGTTGAATTTTTTTTTCTCACAAAAGAGGTATGCCAATGATACTTAAGAGTGGACTCAAAAAAGCCACTATAATATATATTTTACTGCTAGTGCTATAGTTCAGTTACAATAACAGTTTTTTCTTACATTTTTAAATATTAACATGAATGGTGTCTAACGGTGATAAAAATATGAGGATATTGATCCTTACACATTTAATTAAATTTATGCTTGTGGTTTTGTGTATTAGAGTTAATTCAACTTTAAATCAATCAAATTTAGAATGACTCTTCTAAATTATGAAGGATATATACATATCCCGAATTTAAAGAAAAAATTATTTAGCAAAGTTCCACCAGGTCTATGCAAAGAAAAATTTGTAATAATATGTTATTACATATTTTTTATTATTCAAAACTCCTCATTTGAATCCTATCAAATCAAAAAGTAACCATTAAAATATTTATATTGTCATAAATAAATTCTTAGAATTATTGTTCAAACGAAAATAATTTCTGGACCAATTTGGGTCTTAACTCAAAACTCTAATACAACTCTAATACTGTCTCCAATACTATGTCTCGGTAAAATAAATAAAAGTAAATATTATGTCATAACACTTACTTTATAAGAGTCCAAAAAATTTTATACAAAGTTTATATTAATATCCTTACAAAACTAACATTATTAATTAATTAAACTAATTTGTTCAAATTCGTGTAACTTCTCTGTCTTTTGTTTCAACATATCTGTCATCAACAATTCCCTTCAAATCTTTCTTCTTCACGAGATCTTTGTAAATATCTTCTAGACTTCTAGCTCTAGTTTCTGGTATCACCAATATAACGTAGAGAGCCATCAGAAGACAAAGAATACCAAAAAAGTAAAATGATACGTGGATTCCCACAGCATTGGCTAGAGACTTGAAAAATAATAGTTGTATGAAGTCAAATAACGATGCCACTGCCATAGTTATTGCTAAAACTGTTCCACGGTACTGAAAAAAATAACTTAATATTATTTCTGGAAATATCACATATCAATATAATCAAATAGATTATTATGCTACTCTAATTACATACGTTAAAGTCATACAACTATCATCAAGAAATCAAATGCGAGTTTTATGTATTTATCCTTTTTTATGTAATACTCACTCTGAAAGAGAATATTTCTCCCGTTATGACTACCGACATAGGTTGTAGACCGGAGGAATCACAGAAGATACAAACACACAGCGTGACCAGTGGCAACCAGGATGGTGCTAGGATGCCATATTCACGAAGAAGAAACCAAGACGCCAGTGTGCACATACTGATACCAGATAGTAGGGACGTTGTGAAGAGCAGCGGCTGTGAAATTATTTTTAGATGATCAAGTATTCGTTGATTGTACAATTTTCTTAAGAATATTTCTCAAATAACATGTATTCTTCTGTCACTATTTTATAAGAATATAATGGATACAAGGGATTAATGAATAGCGTTTAATTCGTTATTTGAGGACGTTGAAGTATAGTTTAAAAAAGTTGATTCTTGACTGAAAAATGTATGAAGAACAAAGCAACATTTTAGTTGATAAGGGTTTCAAAATGTTTGTACCTTTCGCCCAGATTTCTCGACCAAACTGGAAGCCAACGTTGAACCGAGTACTTGAACACCTCCCAAGAGCATAGCTTGCTGATTTGGACTAAGCCGTAACTTATTGTCAGTGGATGCTAGACTGAAGATCTCCCCTGCGAAGTTGAGAACTGGTACCGCACCACAAGCTTCCCTGGAGAGGGTCGTCACCATGGCTATTATAAAAGCCCTGAACAGAATTTTGTCTTGATCTGAAAGAAAATTCATAGAAATTTGTAAGATTTAGGACGTAAGGTACACAAAAAGTGTATATGTAAAAGTCTATATCCATCTTTCAAAATGTTAACACATTCGTAACAAATTTCAAAAAAACCAAAATAACATATATGTACTTTAAAAATTTAAATGTAGTCTGATACAGAACCTAGAATGTTATAAAATTATGAAAATATCTATTAATTGAAGTCCAATTATTAGACAAACATATATATAGATTTACTATTTAATCGCTTTGAATTATCAATTAAAATTTTTTAATGCTACGATTCTAAAGGTTATGATTTGGAGCCCAGGTAAAAAAATTAATTATTGAACTATACTTATTCGATTTATACACTTAGATAAATAATAATTAATAACAATACTATTATGAAAACTTACAACGAAATGATCTTCACAACAAAAAAAAATGATTTTGTTTTTGAATAATCTCGATGCACTGCTTGAAACCATTTCTTTCGACGTTTTTCGTCTTGTGGAACATTTAAAAACATTTTTTCAGGAGTTGTTTTTGTAGTCTTTGTACATAATGGTACAAAACTTTTGATTATTTAACAATGCCAACAGAATTTACTAGATAAAAACTCAAAACACTGTACTAATTATTATATCTCTGTATGCTACAATGAGCAAAAACTAACATTGTGACGTCACACGCGCTCGGGTTTATTCACGAGCTGTCGGCTTGTCTTCGGTACTGAATTTAAAATTTAATTTTTATTTTGAAATAACTTTTTAAATATTGCAAAAAAAAATAAAATAAAAATAGTTTTGTTATTAAACTTATATATGATCTTTCCATTTATCACAAAAAAAATAATAATTCAAAAACCCAATTACAATTAAATCGATCTTTGTTTATGTGACTTATAATATTAGCTTTTCAATTCACTATTAACTTTTGCTCTTATGCTCTGGAAATGCTCTATATAGATTTGATTCATTTGTAAATCAACAATACCAAAAATAAGTAACAAGAATTTCATTGCGGAACTCTAAGACTCATAATTTTGCAGGTTCCAACCAGATAAACCACAATCATCGCGTTTATTCTGCGCGGGTGTCTTGATCTCTTCTAACGTGGTGCTCACTTCGGCGACATGTCTTCTATCAGCACGTAACCACATACTGTATGTTCACGCGCCCGCATCAACCGTGAAGAAGAATTACACGGTCAAATACCGTGTAGCCCATAAAGATTATAATTCAGGTATTAAACTATGACGTATATTGTAATTAAAATTTTTGGAAGTATAGAAAATTAAACAGGCATTACAATAGGTTTTTTTAATTTAGCGTGTTCATTGAACTGTTTCGGAATTAAGTAGTTTTTATTGTTTTAAAGTATTTTTCTTCTGCTGCTTGCCTTATTAAAGTAGATTGTATTAAAAATTTATTTATCATACCATACCAACTTTGACAGAAAGATCAGTGTAAACTTGCTGAAACGAAAAAGTAATACATAGCAAGTTCATAGTTTGGCGTTAGTCCAATTTACCTGTTTGTTTTAATTAGAGATAAATTCAAAATCTATCATATATTTTTCAGGTACACATGTACATGACTTCGGTATTTTGGTGCTGGAGAAAAACGTTGAGTGGGGCAAGAAAAAGCCAAGGAGTGCCTGTCTCGACTTCACAACCAAATTGCAAGGGGACTGTTTAGCAACAGGATTCAGTAGCGACTTTGAAATCACGACGGTAATTATTACTAAGAAATTTATTGTGCCTGCAGCCCTTCTCGCGGAAGAAGCGAATCTTCGTAATGTTGAAATGAAAATAGGAAGTGGTTGAAATTGATTTTTAAGGATTTTTTCAAGTCACAATGGATTGTCCACATGAGTTTGAGCCAGGAATTCCCTCTCGTTCTATCTCTTGAGCGAAATTATTCTTTTTCTTCATTTTTTTAGGCGGTAACTAATGTGTAGAGTATATTTTGATTAAAACAGTCACAAAAAAACAGAATATTTCTGTACACTTCTCTAAAATCATTTGAAGTTAAAAAATTACTATGTCTGAATTTATCGAACATACACATTCTCACAAGAATCTTATTAGATAATTATGACAATTTTAATTCCTTTCTTTGAATCTGAACTAACCACCATAAATTTCATCAAAAATATTTGCAAATCTGAAACTCTTTACAATGTTAACAACATCATCAGTAGTTTAGAATGTCATATTTATTTTCGTTGTTTTAAACGTCTGTTATATTTCAGACATTATTGTCAGTGGAGCAGAAGGGTTGTGGTCCCAGGCAGGACCCGGGCGACGTGTGTTGCGGTACAAACGTTAGTGACGATGACGATTGCATCATTACACCCGGTGCACCAGTGCTTTGCCTGTCTAGTGTAAGTATTTTAAGAATTAACTAAATAATACTAAGGCGTATACAAGCAATAATTACATTTCATTCTATATATTAATTTCTTTCTCTGTTTTATATTGTGTATAGATTATGTGTGGATATAACTATTTCTTTGCAGTATTTCTTAAGCCTAAATGTTATAGGAGTAGCATGTATTAGTCTGTTATTAAAACTGCTTATATCTTTTATACTTCTATGTTAAAACTCTTTCCCCCTCTTTTTTTATCTCCCTCTTTCTTTCTTACTCTCTCTCTCTATCTCTCATTCTCTAGTAATATATGTTATTTAAATGATAAGTCTTTATTGTTTGTGTCTTCCAGGACAAAGTGTTCACCGTTGTTGGAGTGTCAAGGTCGATTTGTAAAAATAACAAACAAGTGAGCATCGGAGAACTGTCAACAGTGAAAACATGGCTTCAGAGCGAATTAGTAGAAATTAATCTCCTACAAAATGTGTACACTTATAAAAAGTTATAATATTGTGATTTAAACTTTAATCCAGATTTAAATCTAGATCTATATCGAGATGATGACGACTTAGGAATTAAATATAGATTGAAATGTATTATTTAAAATAACAAGAAGCAACCTCCTTAATATAGTTGTAAATAATAATGTTTATGTTATATTTTTAAGCGTTTTATTTTTCTATAAGTAGGTTTAATAGCAGTTTATATCAAACCAATTGAACAAGTCTGCATGAGTTTTAAATTTAAGAACAATTGATTAAATTCATTCTGAGTATCAAAGGAAAGAATCTCAGTATATTAATATAACTACAGTTGGGTAAACATATACTTTATGTATTACTTATTTTAAAATTGTGTCATAAATATAAATCTTTATGTACTCTAACGTACACAGACTGTATTATATGTTAATATTTAATTTAAAACGAGTTGAAAATTTTTTTCTCACAAAAGAGGTATGTCAATGATACTTAAGAATGGACTCAAAAAAGCTATTATAATATATATTTTACTGCTATAGTTCGGGTACAATATCAGTTTTTGCTTACATTTTTAAATCTTGGACATGGATGGTGTCTAACGGTGATAAGAAATATGAGGATATTGATCTTTACACATTTAATTAATTTTATGCTTTTTGTGTATTAGAGTTAATTCAACTTTAAATCAATCAGATTTGAAATCACGCTTCGAAATTACGAAGGATATATAAATATCCCGAATTTAAAGAAAAAAATAGTTTAGCAAAAGTCCACCAGGTCCATGCAAAGTAAAATTGGTAATAATATCTAATAACATAATTTTTATACATATTATTCAAAACTCCTCGTTTGACTTCTATCAAAAGTAACCATTATAATATATATATTGTCATATAAATTCTAAGAATTGTTCAAACGAAAATAATTTTTAGACCAACTATAATTAATATTTTGAGTCTTAACTCAAAACTCTAATACAAGCCTCATGTCTCGGTAAAATAAATAAAAGTAAATATTATGTCATAACTCTCAATTTATAAGAAACCAAAAATATTATACAAAGTTTATATTCTTATCCTTAAAAAACTAATAGGTATTATTAATTAATTAGACTAATTTGTTCAAATTCGTGAAACTTCTCTGTCTTTTGTTTCAACATATCTGTCATCAACAATTCCCTTCAAATCTTTCTTCTTCACGAGATCTTTGTAAATATCTTCTAGACTTCTAGCTCTAGTTTCTGGTATCACCAATATAACGTAGAGAGCCATCAGAAGACAAAGAATACCAAAAAAGTAAAATGACACGTGGATTCCCACAGCATTGGCTAGAGACTTGAAAAATAATAGTTGTATGAAGTCAAATAACGATGCTACTGCCATAGTTATTGCTAAAACTGTTCCACGGTACTGAAAAAAAATCTTAGTATTATTTCTGGAAATATCGCATACAAATATAATCAAAATGATTATTATGCTACTCTAATTACATACGTTAAAGTCATACAACTATCAGCAAGAAATCAAATGCGAATTTTATGTATTTATAATACTCACTCTGAAAGAGAATATTTCTCCCGTTATGACTACCGACATAGGTTGTAGACCGGAAGAATCACAGAAGATACAAACACACAGCGTGACAAGTGGCAACCAGGATGGTGCTAGGATGCCATATTCACGAAGAAGAAACCAAGACGCCAGTGTGCACATACTGATACCAGATAGTAGGGAAGTTGTGAAGAGCAGCGGCTGTGAAATATTTTTAGATGATCAAGTATTCGTTGATTGTACAATTTTCTTAAGAATATTTCTCAAATAACATGTATTCTTCTGTCACTATTTTATAAGAATATAATGGATACAAGGGATTAATGAATAGCGTTTAATTCGTTATTTGAGGACGTTGAAGTATAGTTTAAAAAAGTTGATTCTTGACTGAAAAATGTATGAAGAACAAAGCAACATTTTAGTTGATAAGGGTTTCAAAATGTTTGTACCTTTCGCCCAGACTTCTCGACCAAACTGGAAGCCAACGCTGAACCGAGTACTTGAACACCTCCCAAGAGCATAGCTTGCTGATTTGGACTAAGCCGTAACTTATTGTCAGTGGATGCTAGACTGAAGATCTCTCCTGCGAAATTGAGAACTGGCACCGCACCACAAGCTTCCCTGGAGAGGGTCGTCACCATGGCTATTATAAAAGCCCTGAACAGAATTTTGTCTTGATCTGAAAGAAAATTCATAGAAAATTGTAAGATTTAGGATGTAAGGTACACAAAAAGTGTCTATGTAAAAGTCTATATCCATCTTTTAAAATGTTTACACATTCATTCAAAGTCTTTGAAAGCTGATCGGAGGACTAATAATTGTTTAACACAAGAACAATTTCAAAGTCCGGCAGGTCGCAATTTAAAAAATGAATTAATTTTGCACTTAAATTTCAGTATTTTATTTCAAATATGATGTAAAGAAATTTTCCTTAAAATCTAATTATATGCATCAAGGTTAGTTCAAAGTATGATAAAAGTCAATATTTACCACGTGTTATAAAGATCTTACTGTTCTTGTTATCTTAATAACTTTAATATTTATTTATACTTACTAATACTAATGATAGTTTGACCGATAAATCTAAAATGTCAACGGCCGTTTGTTATTATAAGAATAATAATAAAATAGACCAAAAAATTGAAAAGTAATGGAAGGATAGAACAATTGAGGAAAAATTTGTCTCACTTATTTAAAGACTTGCAAGGAAATTTTGCATTAAGAAGCTTAAAACGACCTAGCCCTTTCAAAAATCCGATCCTTATTTATAGATTTTGTATAATTATGACCTTTATGCTAGGTTAGTTTAAGGGTTATTTTTGAGCTAATATCATTTCAGAAATTGACCTGAATACAAAGACTAAGTAAATTAAACTAAATTAATTAAATAAGTACATAATTTAACTTACATATATCCTTCAGTAGAAAATTCTTAGATTCATCTTTATCCTGTTCAGCCCTGATCAAATCTAGTTCTTGTTCGATTTTGGGGTCCCCTGCTGGTCTACATCTCAGCCATGATAAGGCTTTAGTGGCATCCTTAAACATAAAAGAAAATCTTTGTAATATTGTTATATGTTATAAAGAACTCTTAAACAAGGTATATCTTAGTAATTACTAATTAGGTATATTACAATTTATAATATTAACGAAAGGATATTTGTCTGAATGTGTAGTGTAATGAAAGTATGAAATAATGTAGTTCTTAATGAATGAATAAACGTTTTGCTTCTAAAGACAAACTTGACTTCTTACCTCAATCCTTCCCCTCTTTAGCAGGTAAGAAGGGGAATCAGGCATTAATATGAACAACAGTATATGTATTCCAGGAATAGCCAGACATATCCAAAGTATAGCGTTATAACTTAAAATATCGCCTATAATATACAAAAAGAGGTTGCCGGTTGTTTGGAAAAGGATGACCTGAAAACATAAATTATTTTAAACAAACTCCATAAGCAACAAAAATTTGATATTTAGAGGTAAAATTTAATACAAAAGCGATCATATGAAACATAAATATTGCCAAGAAAGATTCAAAGAAGTTATTACTGTCAGTAATATATTACGTCTTTTATAGGATCATGAATTAATCTTAATAAGATAAGTATATTATATTGCTTGTATTGGCCAAATCTGAAGTTTCATACAATGCTGTATTACCAAGCATCCCAGGGCGCCTCGAATGTTGTCATCACTTATTTCCTTGGTGTAAATAGGGCATGTGACGTAGGAACCTGCCATACTAATCCCAACTAACGCTCGGCCCAGAATCAGGACCCACGTGTTGAAAGAAGAGAGGAGAAGGATCCAACTAACCTATACACAAGTAAGACAAATTATAAACAAATAAAAAAAGCTTAAATGAAACTAATATTTTTCGGATTATACGGGACTTCATTTTCGTAATAAACCAACATACTCCCGACGTTTTGGCTACTTTTCAGCAACCATGATCACGGGCAGAAAAGGTGTGAATGTCTGTCAGTTGGTCTTGTTATTTATCCCTTTATTAGAAAATAGCATTGTTTCAAAACTATCTCATATAGCAATGATATATGTTCCCTAATTAATGAAATTTTTGTCATTATTAAGCAAGTAACCTCTTGGATATTATTTGTGATAATATATTTGGGACCAAACAGGCAGGATAAACTATTAAAATATCTTTCTATTATAATAACATGTTATTAAATTAATACAAATAATTACCGCTGATGATATCGATATAAGTATCAAGGCAGTTTTCCTTCCCCATTTATCTGTTATGAGGGCCATAAGAAGATCACATGGGATGCAAACCAAGTATGGAACTGATGCCATCCATGATACCTGAAACACAAGGATTGACTTTGAATAATGAGATCTAAGATTTTCGCTAGTTAGATTCATTTAAATGAAACTAAAAGTTTTCGGATATACTACACGGTTTATTTTTTTGGAAAAAAACTACATACTCCCAACGTTTTGACTAATTTTCAGCAACTGTGGTCACAAAAATTAACCGTAGTATATCCGAAAAATATTAGTTTAATTTAATTGACTTTAAATTCTAAGCATATAGAAGCCTTCCCAATTAAATGGGACAGAGAAAAGAATTTAAATTTACATGTTTAGCTCTAGCTGTATCAAAAACATGAAATTTTACATAGTAAACCATACTTGATTGAGTTGCATAATTTTTTTTTGGGAAAACACTAAGTTATGATCCACCTTCAAATTAGCTTTGAGGCGTTAATTTTTTATAAAAATATACTAGTTTTGCACTTCCCAAACTTTGTACATTTAAAATTAAAAAAAATATATTTTATCAAACTGGCAAAGAGATCTTTATTTTAGAGATCTTAAGTTTAGGCTACAATAAAAAACACGCAAAATTTTCTTGTATGCATATTTAATTTATTCGTATAGTTCTAAACAGATATTTCTATATTTCTATAATATATCAATCAAAAATATATTATACCTTTTATATTATATTAAACAGTATTTTATAAATATATAATGAAATATTTAGAGAAGTATTACTACTGCACAAATAGTTTTCAGATATCCTTTATAGAATATTTTAGAGTTAATCACTCGGTCTTTGACAAATATTCAGTAATCTTTGTATATAAATTAGGGCGGGACTCGATATTTTTGATTAATCACTCATACAATTGACCCTAATCAGAATGTTTGCTATATCAATTGCCTTCAATTGTAAGCAAAATTTTTTTCATTAGTCTATTTGTCACGTGTTTTACAAATATTTTTTTTGAAATTTAAATAGGTCACTTTAAGCTTCACAAACAAACTATTCGTTTAAAAAAACAGTGTCCTTATTTGGTTTTTGTATATTATTTTACTCAGGAACTACATAAGTTTTGAACATTTACCCAGCCTTGTTAAACAGCTAATTATTTAGTTTTACTATAATATACATTTATTTGTTTATACTAGACTTCTTTAAGTGAGACAACACATTTTTTGCTATTAAAAAATCCTATAACGTCATTATTTGCATAAAAATCTAACCTTCCTCTTTATTATGAACAATTGGATATAATTTATATTAGCGCCAAATTGTCAATTGTTACACATTAGACAATACAGTGACGTATGTACGTATGCGTATTTATTTTATTTTACCTATAGTTTTCTAGCTATATGTAATTTTGTTTTTTATTAGTGTAAAATGTCACAAAATATAAGAAACTTTATTTAGATGGAACTATAAACCAAAGTTATAAGGTTGTTATTATTGTGATTCAAACGCGATTTTTATAATTTTCCATACGGCCCTAAATAAAGTTTTTTAAATATAATATGGAGTGTTAAATTACTAGCAAAAGTTAGGTCACATTAGCTGATAGCAACTGCCTCAGCCACATGACTGTGGCGTGTTTTTGCAGGAAGCAACTCAACTCTTCACAATTAAATAGTCAAAATGTATGAGATATTAAAAATTTAGGACATTTGCTTCTAAAATGTTGATTACCTCTAAGTCAGTTAAAGGGGTTCCTCTGGGTGAATCTTTTGACTGAAGAAGTAGTGTCATAGGTGACATCCATCCAACACTGCATCCATAAGATAGTACGGGCAAATTTACTGTAACAAAAATACATATACTAATTTAATGGAAATTAATGACAGCTTAAAATATGCTTAGATATATCCAGTTTTATTTAAGAAAGTTTAAGTTAGATTTAATTTATCCTAATGATATTACAAAAGCGAAAATTTGTGTGGGTTTATGGATATATAGATGTTTGTTGTTCGTTCACGGATAATCTAAGAAACGGATACATTTGCAACTTTACAGTAACGTAGCTTAGACATCAGGATGAGACATAGGCTATTATATATTCTTAAACTTTGTGTGGTTCCTTGAGGATCAAAAAATGATGATCATGATGATGATGATGATGATCATTATTATCACGTGACGAATACAGACGGCGCCACCAGTTGATTTCAATATATTAATACATATAGTTTGTTTATAGTTCTAATATTTCTATACGTATCTCTAAGTCTAGATTTTAGTTTACCCGGATACAGTATTACAGTATTACAGTACAGTATTACAGTATTACCCGGATACAGCATTGAAATACAAGTACCCTCATAAATGTTATCGATAAAGCGTAAAAATTTTATGAATTGTGTACATATGTATATTATGTAGATGTTTTATTTACAAACATTTTAAAGAATTCACATATTTTTTTTTCCATAATACAATAAATAAGTATTTAATATTAGTACTTTTAGCTATATTTACTTAACACCGTAATATTTTAGTAACATTTACTGAAAAATAACGTGAAATTGTATATTTAAGGTTTATGTATATTAAAGATATCTAAGTTGTTTTATATTGTTTTCAGGATCGATGCTCAGAATGCCTCCATTAATATTATTTTACTTTTTAATATAATAACAACTGAATATAATTTTATTTAGTTCAGTATTGTTAAATTAAAACATCATTGTAATACAATTATATTTATAGACATAATATCATTTAACAATTTATTTGAGATTGTAGACAGAAGTAGACACCGTGGACAAACAAGATATAAAAGTAAAAAAAATCTTTGACTATAAAAAATGTACTAGACATAAAGATGTAAAACTATAATTTCGTACAAATTGTAATTATAATTTTAGTAGATCTAGTAGAAATAATATTTTCTTACAAAACTTCAACTTTTTCCTGGCAATTCCCCACCTTTAACCAGTGTCTGAATTACATATTGTGACTAGTTTTGGCTAATTGTTTTTACGACCGGCCGCCTGCCTGACATCAACCCTCTTTTGTTTTCAAGATTTTCTCACAAAACAATTTATATTTATATACGAGAATCATTGCAATAACTTTATATTCTCATTGCACGTAAATAAATAAATTAATTTATCTCAGGTAAATGTATTTCATAATATATGAATAACCTTTCAATGAATTTTATTAATAATTTATTATCCGTAAAGAAATTATAGGAACATAGTCATACTGAACTTACAGATATTAATGTTTATTAAAATACATATGTATTCTATTTCTCAATTTTACCTATGGTTAAATATTGGGTATGTATTTGTACAAGTGTGAAACTCTAAGTTTATGTTGATTTTGTTAATTTATCTCTTAAATTTACTTGTACTTCATCATACAATTTATTCATAACAATTTAAATTCTCTATAAAATTATTATACTTAATTTCTGTTTTTACGCATATGTAATGAAACTAAAATTGATCTTATATATAGGTCTTGAAGTATATTTAAATGTAATTTATATAATATACATACATATATATTAATAGAAATGTATTCGATTGATTAAATTGTCTTATATATGGAACAGTTGTTATGTATTTTACATTATAATATACATTTATTAACAAGATTCACAGCTTAATTTCTTTTGACAGTACTATAACATAGGAAGACTTCAAGCCTTTGATATTCATGAAAATAAATTATAAAATAACGAAGAAAGATTGCAGACGTTAATTAGAATGAAATATAAATTAATATAATTTGATTATAATTTTAAATTTTTTAAACACAAATATCCTTATAAACGTGATATTCTACTTCATCCTATATGTCAAGGTTATATTATTTACCGTCTTTGAAACGTCGCAGTTAAATCATTTTAAAATATACAAATTTATAATTTTTTGCTCTTACAAAAAATATGTTACGCAAAATTACTATTCAATAACAGAGGAACATGATAGAAATATTTTGAAATTAATAAAACATATATAAAATTGTACTTCAACATATTTATATTTTAAATATAATAATAAAACTATGCTTACTCAAGAGCGCGCAAATAATTTGATTTATTTGTCCACCATCTTGAAAATATTTTCTTTGTAACATTTTGAATTTATATTTCACTGCATATATTTAAATAAATTATACGATATACGACTACTTCATATTAATTTTTCACTTTGAGAAAACACACCGTTTAAAATAATTTCGTTTGGAAACGTTGAAACGCGCTCTCTACTTAGACTAATGTGAGTTGTCGCGGTAGTTTTATATACGCTGTCTGCTACTACATTCATCTTTCAGTTGGGAGCTTACGAATTAATCTATTGTATCTCATTAATTAAAATAAGATGTTAAACATCTTGATAATTTATCAGTGTCCTTTGATTTTAATATTCAGAATATTGTGTCTTCGAAATTAAAATAATCCTTTGTTGAAAGCTTAAACTTCTGAAAAACATGTAATGATGTCTGAATTAATTTAAAATCTATTAGTCTATGTGTACTCTTATTATTTTTTTTGTTTAACATAACAAAATAATAGGGTACATGTTTTGTATTGAATACAATATAATAAGTATATTGCATTTTTTTTTCAACCGAGGGGTCATTAAATTTGTACAACATACTTATAAAGTCGAAAATCATTACGTTTAAAATATTTATTTGTATGAAATATGAAATGACATAAATTTATATTGCAATCCTTATTGAACTCAAAATCCTTTAAAATGTAGGCCATATCGATGGTCATCTTTAATAAATAGTATAAAGCAAAAATTTCGAATAGTAAATCGTTATATTTGATAAAAAATATATATTTTATCACAAAGATGCTATGATGTCAAATACTCAAACCTCATGATAATTAACAGAAATACATTCTTAATCAATCTATATACATAATATGTATATAAAAGAAAGTCGTGTTACCTACAGTGCTTATAACTCTGTATTTATTAACTTGTCTAAAAATTTAGGAGTTAGTTTAGAATCTGATGACGTACATGAGATATTTTTCATCCTGTTCCCTCTAAAATGAAAAATAAAGAATTCCATAAAAACCAAAATCTGAGTGTGCCCGGTCAGCTATACATTTCCAATCTTGAAATTGAGACGACGAAGTCGCGAGCAAAAGCTTGTTGTTTATATGACTGTATAGCGTGTATTTTAATTTTCATAGTAATTATCATCATCATCATCATCATCATCATCAGCCAAAAGACGTCCACTGCAGGACATAGGCCTCCCCCAAGGATCTCCACGACGACCGGTCTTGTGCCACCCGCATCCAGCGGATTCCCGTAGCAATTATAATTTCTTGTTATTATTTTAAAAGTATTGAAACACCATACTTATAAAAGAAATAAAAAATCCAACTAGTAGCAAACAATATATTATAAAATCTCTCGGAACATAGGATATGTTGCGGATGTCCATGGGCGACGGTAACTACATTTCATCAAGTAGGCCGTTTGCTAGTTTGCCACCTTTGACTTAAAAAAAAGAAGTCCACTGTTGAATAAATGTAAGCTTTTTTAAAAAAGTAGAACTTTAAAAATTACTTACATACAAATTTAGTTTTACATAAAATAAAGGCATGTAAAAAATACTTCGCTTATACCTCCTGCTTTTGCTATTATTATTTTTTTATGTGAATGGTGGCAAACGAGCTGACGGCCCACTTGATGGAAGGTGGTTACCATGGCCCATTGACATCCGCAACATATTTGTTGTGGATGTGTTGCCAACCTTGTTTTTTAGGGATAGGGAGGGGTGGGAATAAAGGAATGGTAAGAAAGGATAGGAATCGGGAAAGGGTAACCGGCTCTCTCACTCATCGGACGAAACGCAGCCATTAAAGGCTACTTCACGCCGATCTTCTGTGAGAGGGTGGTACTTCCCCGGTCGAGCCAGCCCATTTTCGAGCTGTAGTAACTGACTACAGCTAGGCTCTACCACCTAAATTAGAAATGAAGTCACTTATTTTGGAACATTCCTCCGTTTAGTTTAAACTGTTTAAAATATTAAGCCCGTAATCGTATTCTTTAAATGCCTAATTTAGGTATACAAAAACATTTGTCATCCAAACACAATTTTCATTTCATGATTTGATTTCATCATCAGCCTAAGTATCAGAGCCCACTGTTGAGCAAAGGCCTCTTCTCACATAGAGAAAGTTTGAGCATTAATCACCACCGAGCTTGCTCATGACGGGTTGGTGATTTCAAACTTATAATTTGAAATTATAAAGTACATATGACTCGGAAAAATCACATTGGTTCTTGCTAGATTTCGTACCCATGCCCTCATGCAAGGGAGGCGGGGCCTTTAACCTCTGGGAAGTTTAACTTTTAAAAATCTATTAAAAATAGTTGCTATAAAGATCCTCAAGCTTAAATAAAATATAATAATATAATCTAATGCCCCCATAGGAATAAGTATTTGATAAACTTTTTTAAAATTTCCATTTCTTTTTCATGTAACAGAAATATTATAAGTTATTTAAATGTTGATTCTTAGATTCATCTGGAATATTATTTAAGTAGTTAAGATATAATCTATTTATGTTTAAGACAACAATGATTTTTATCTACAAAATAAATGTTTAATTATTTGTTTGTCATACATAATTTTTATGTAAATTAAAGTAAAAAACTTCGTCAATATTGGTTTGTAGCGGACTTTTGGTCAAACGAAAATTAGGTTAGAGAATTGTTGACATGCTTATAACTTCGTTTAAAATATTTTATGAATATTTTCTAAGTATGAAATATTCTTTATTGGTTCATTGTAATTGCTTTTATAAAGCTTATATTTAGTTATTTATGAGTTATGACCAAAATTTAATTATTATAATACATTGCACTGTCATAATTATGTTTTTTGTACATAAAGGTAATATGTTATTCCTATTTTACAATATAAAATCGTAATATCTGCATTTTATGACTTCCTTTGTAATAAAAAAATTACTCCCAATACCCAAATATGCTCATAAGTTTTATTCATATATTTTTTCTATTAAAAATACAAATATCATTGATATAAGCAGAATCATAATTAATGTTGATAATCATAATTAATCACTGATTAATGTTGATTCCCAAAAGAGGGTTGATGTCAGGCAGGCGGCCGGTCATAAAAACAAATAGCCAAAAAAAAAACTTTTCAGAACATGTAAGGCAGACCCTGGCTATAGCTGGGAAATTGCCAGGTAGAAGAAGAAGAAGCAGAATCATAATTATTACATTACACCTTAATTGTAGGGTAGACTGATGATAGATATTCCAGAGGTTGTGGGTTCGAGTCCGTCTTGTGTCGATTTAATTTTCATACTGTATTTTCAATTAAAGTATTACTTAACAACTTCAATATTGTAAAATTAATCTAATAATATTATAAAAATAAAAGATAATTTACAAAAAAGTGAAAGATGAATTACACCAAAATGTATTTAATCTCCTAAAATTTATCTAATACAAAAATAATGTATTTTTTCCATTTTATCCTTATATGATAAAAGTTGCTGAAAAGTAATACAAACAAGGAAAATCTAAAAATAATATAAATAAAACCGAAAAGCTTAGTTTCATTGTAAATGTAACTATTATTTATCAAAGAAAACAATTTTACGACCATCTTATAACATTTAATACTGATCAAATGAGATGCGTTATAAAATATATCTTTATTAAATTATAAATAGACTAACATGTACGAGGTAAATCAAACATGATAAGTGGGTTTATGTTACATCATTCATAATAAATATTAAATACAACAGAATTAAATCGAAAAATGTTAATACAGTGAGTAAATAGTTATAAGAATATCTTTATATTTTGTAATTTTTTGGCTTAGGCGTATGAAAACATTGATTTATGAGGTCTTAGCTACGGTTCATTTAAATTAATATATCATTTTCAGTCTGAATAGTTAGTTAGTTAGGTGGTGATAGAACCTAGTCGTGGTCAAGTTACTACAGCTCGAACATGGACTGACTCGACTGTACCACCCTCTCACAGAAGATTGGCGTGAAATAGCCTTTATGGCTAGATGTCGTCAGATGGGTGAGAGAGCTGGTTGCCCTTTCCATGTTGATACCCTTTTCTGTCATTTCCTTATTCCCACCCCTCCCAAATCCAAAAACATCAAGGTTGACAACTCATCCGCAACATCTCTGTTGCGGATGTCCATGGGTGACGGTCGCTACTGCCCATAAAGTAGGCCGTCTGCTCGTTCGCCACCTTTTTCATAATAATAGTTAACTAAGAAGGACTGTTCTTAATAATTGTTTCTCATCTATATCCATACATTTATCTCCAGAGAGCTTTTGTCAATATTAATGAATGTAAAATTCTTTGATACTCATACAAATTTAGATGCTACATCGATTTATTTTAACACTTTAAACTTTTTGCATAATCTTTTACATTTTATGAATTCATCTAGTGTAAAAACAATAAACGGTTAATATTTTAGAAATATCGATTACTATTTATAAAAAAAAAACACTTTTACATTACTATTACTAATTAAAACTTAATTTTTTCATAAACCTCTTGTTCTAAATAAAATATGTATGAAAAAATGAGTTGCTATAAAATTAAAACAAAGCATCAAAAAATATTTTACATACACTTATTAAGATGGAATCCTATATAGATTTGATTTTTAATTCAAAAACCCATTCTATATTCCCTACTAGCTAGGTTTTCTCTGCTAAGGTAAGTAATAGTGATCATACATCGGATTTTTGCCACCAGTTCTATCCTACATACGGAGCGTTAAAAGTTTTTCATTTATAAATCTTAACACATTAGAGTATAAAATAAGAACCTACTTCGAAGGCAGCCCTAGTAAATTCATTTACAATTTGGTTAGGTAGAGAGAGGAGCTTGAACAGTGGAAGTGAGCGTATAACCTTAAACCTACACCTGGGTCGCAAGTCACAGTCACTGTTGAAGCTCCTCTCCCTGCAATGATGGACCCGGCACCCGCACGGTAGATACATTGAATGCGAAGAGGTTTCGTCTCATATTATATTCTCTAGTTTGACCTGGCTGCATTCTGTCCTAGTTTATATCATAACATCAGTGGCGTGAACACCATAGATGCAAATAAGCACTGCATACACTATAGATATCTGTATAACAACAGTTGTTATATAACAACTAAACCGATATTACATATTTAATTCTTACTTACATACTTTGAATCAAACATTACGAAATACAAATGTTTACAGATTTAACATGACATTTGATTCACGATTTGATAAAAATGTCATCTATAAACAAAAAACGAAACATTTGAAATCGGCCGCCGCTAAATGCTAGCGCCGCTGTGCAGCCAGAGCGGCGATATGCACAACTCCTCGGTGCTTATTTTCCATCCAAAACTTCTCAAGAATGATCTACAAATCTCGTGTTGAATGTAGAAATGTTTGCATGTGTGGTATTTGAGAAGCACTGCATCCTTTTTTTCGTTTAAAATCAAAAATGTCGTAGAAAGTCCGTTAATTGACAAATGTAACGGGACTCCTTGATTGGTATGTAAACTGTTCGTATATTTTTATCGCCATTTTTTTATTATTGAATATTGTCATTTATCCTTCTAAAGGCAAGTGAATAAGTTTGAATTACCTAATTAGTAAATAATGAATTAAGTTATTAATTAATTATGGAAAACTATAGCTGTGAGCTCTGTGCTGGTGATGTGTATTTATGAGCAGATTTTCAATATTGTCGTTTGATAATAAAATTAAAATAATTATAAAATCAAGGTGTGTGACCAGTTGGGATTGAACTAAAAGAATGGTAATGTTATTCGTTTTAATAAAAAGTATTATGATAGTTTTAATTAGTTAGCAGGTTGTGTACATACACTACACACAAATAAGTTATTATGTTTTCCTTGTTTGTTGTTTTCAAATAATAACAATAAAAATGTTTGAATCTCCACTGGATATTGCGATTTAAATAACTTTTATAAAGCTGTGATACTTTTATAAACAGATCGTAATCGTTTTGAGGTACTTTTGTGGCTCAAAAGTAGTTGAGATATTCATAAAATATATACATAGATGTTCGTTCTGATCGAACTGCTGTGACATAATACTCGCAAATTATCAATGTTTAAATGAACTTAATATTTTCTGACTACTGCGCGTATTTTATTATGTTTAAAAACTACATACTCCCGACGTTAAGGTACTTTTGCAGCAACCGTTGTCACGGAAGACATATCGTCTGCCCATTAAACATAATAAATTGTGCGTAGTAATCCAAAAATTTTAGTTTCATTTAAATGAATAGATACTTGCAAAAGATGTCTTTACTATCAATGTTTTAGAGGAGGAAATTATAAAATATCGTATTTTTTTCAAACATATTCTGCTTACCCTACCCCAAATCTCCTTTCACGCCACAGCCATAACATATTGTTTAATTTAAAAAAGATCTAATGTCAAACATAAATTATATGTATGTCACCTGAGTATCGAACTAGTGAATCTTCTTCTTCTTCCTGGCAATTTCCCAGCTATAACCAGGGTCTGCCTTACATGTGTTGAATAGTTTTGGCTATTTGTTTTTACGACCGGTTGCCTGCCTGACATCAACCCTTTTTGGGAATCAGAATTAATTAAACCTATTTTAATAAGAATAGTGTATTCAATGTTTTAATAATATTTAGCGAATAAATAGATAGAGTTTAAGAATATTGATTGCCCCGAAAACAGTGACATTTTTTAATTGTTTTTGTTTTCTTTCTGATTTGTAATACATCGGTACCTGTACTCGTCTATTTTACATAAAGTAAGAAATATTTAATTGGTAATAAGAATGTAACGCAGTAATTACTTGTTTATAAAATACGCTTTATAATGTCTTTTGAACGAAACCAAAGCTTTAAGGGTAAAAAACGTATAAGTTTAAGTTTTTAAAACTAGCAGGTAGTAAGAGCTTCAAGTTGTCATAGAATAGGGCCTCGCAAAATCTGTCTTGCCCACATCAAATTTAGGTCTTGCACCGCCACTGTTTGGGAATTCATTAATCAGTGATGTCTAAATACTCTTAGAAAGTACATATGACTTGGAAAAATCACATTGGTACCTGCCCGGGTCAGGATCGAACCCACGCCCTCATACATGAGAGGCGGGCCTTTTAACCACTAGGCCAGCACTGACTTATCGTATCGACTAGTGAATATTTTTGATAAATTGTGTTTTAAGCGTTGACGTTGTCAAAATATTCCATGACTCCAGTGCGAATGAAGCCATAGCATACAGTAAAAACATGTTTAATTATATCACTTGTACAGAAATTAAAAATTAATTTATTATTAATTACTAATCATTATTTTAATCAGTAAAACAATTATTAACAATATTTTAATGACTCGAATTCTAGTCAATTTTTTTTATTACATATTTAAAAATGATATTCCGTCCTTTCATTTTCAATAATAACTGATATATATCAGAAATTATATTATCAGGTATAATTCGTACTTACTTCTGAGACTCGCGAATATTCATTTCAATAGAACTAATGTTTTCGGATACATAATTTTAAAACAAATATTCATCTCGTCTGCCTGTGATCAGATTAGTAGATATTTAAAAATAATAAAAGGGAAGTAACTTTGTCTTCAACACCATATGTCCATGTAGGTAGGTACATTGTAGGTATATGTTTTTATCGAAAAACAAAATGTATTTCAATTATTTTTCTATTTATGTTATTATTCTCATTCGTCCCTCTAATCTGTGATACTTTAAAATTTAACACTCTTTTTGTTTCGTACTTATGTAAGTAGGTACTTTAAACAATAAACAGTCTTTACGATATTTGTGACTGGAATTTGCAATAGAAAGACGATCTATTTAAATTAATTATATAAAAAAATGGTTGTAGTATTAAATATTGCATTAATAATGATCGAGTCTAACAAGTAAAACAATATTATATCCTATTATCTAAAATTTTCGCATGTACATATTTAAGTAAATAAAACTAAGTTTTTCCAATACTTCGCCTTATTTATTATTCAATCAATACATACTTAAACTCACTATCTGGTTCATGTAAATGATACATTTGCGAACATCTTTATCTTCTTGGACTTCGCAATAGGATTTAAAATTTAAAGGATTATAAATAATGTGCGCTATAAATACTACTTAACTAACCACTGGCGCCATCTTTCAACTGTGGCACGTTATTATAATATTGTATTCAAAGGGAATTACGGAATTCTAGATTAAGTTATAATGTTATTCTGAAGGAAGAAACACTATACTCTTGTTTCATTAAAAGCCATTTTTAAGGGTCACGGAAAATACAACAACAAACTGTTATACAAAATACGTCCATGTAGACTTGTATTTTTCATAAAATCATTTAAATTTATCATAATAATACTAATATTACTAAAATCATATAAAAATAAAATTTACCAATACAATAAGGGATTTAACAAAAATAATTTTGGTACTCAACATAAGCTATAACAAATATCAGTATTCTGGCAGATACTTGACAGGATTGCAAAAACTAATTAGAATGAATAACAATTTTTACTTTTGAAAAACATTGTCATTAATTAATATTCTTTACAGTTTATATAATTCATTTAAATTGTCAATATTTAAGTGACACTATTCGATTGCCTACACATCAAACAATATTGTTATCGTAATGTCAAAATCAGGTGTGTAGCTGTCATAAAAAACGGGGTTATGTTTGTTTAAAAAATACCTTACAGAAAAAAATCCTTTCACTATAACAAAAAATAATAGATCCCCTAAAACAAACCTAGCACAACCATTCATACAACTAAATGAAGAATAATTTCCTGTAAGAATGCACTGGCAATGACGTTCTATTTTGAGCCCAAATAATTTTCAATGGATAGTGGCCAAAGGTTAAATTTTTAGTGCATTTCGGTATGAATTCATGAAGTAACATTGCGTTTGGAGTAGATCGTCCCTCCCCCGTTATTTGTGGCTGAAATGGATGATTTCAAACTAAGAGCTGGTGAAAAAATTGGAGCTTTGCATGTGAGTTTCTGTTCAATGTTATTCAATTGTTTTACAATTATTGCCATCAACTCTTGGACAATTTAACTAATAATCTTTATTTGTATTATTGTCACGATTTAATTTACATTAATTGTTTTGTTTATCAAAGTGCCTTTTGACCCTGAAACTTATGTAACAATGTCTAGTTGCCAAAAAATACTTTTATTGTTATGGTTGTGGGTCAAATCATTTGTATCTGCTAAAGTCCAAGTTATACAGCTATATAAAATGATTAATTCCCAAAAACTGTTTCATTTAGTTTAAATTTATGTTTTCCCCTTTATATATTATCTATGATATTAATAAGGGATATCTTATTTACAGGATGCCGCTTTGGGTGTAGCAAATAACAGCAAAATCAAAATCAATGATGCCGTAGATAAAACTGTTGAGGCTGTTAATAAGGTAGGATGAGAATAAATATATCTAAATATTAATGTATCTTTTGTAATACAAACATGAAATGTTTATGATCAATCGCTAATTAAAAACTCTTTGATAACAAATACACCAAATACTTACACTGTCAGAATATTACTGGCAAATTGTGAAATTTCGTTCTGAGCTCATTTGGGTGAGAGTTATTGATTACTATCAAAATTTATTATGAATGCAATTTCTTATTTAATCCTGCCCAAGTAAAACGAGTTGAGTCTAATTCAAAGTAAACCATGTTTATGAAAATTTTAAGACTATTAATAACATCAAGTAAATTAATGATGCTGATATACAATTTAATCAATTTTAATATATTATGTGAAGCCGTCTACATATGTACATGATAATTTAAAAAAATCTTTTCCCACAATTAATTTCATCATTATTTGATAAAATTTTCTTTATAGTTTTTTTTAATAAATACAATTTGTACAATAACACTGTTAAGTAATTTAATAAAACATTTAATACCAATGAAGATGTATAAATAATAGTTTACTTTTTACATTACTCGGTCTTAAGGGCAGAGAAAAATTAATGTTAAATGTAAACTGCATCTAGACCGACTCGTCATACAGCCTTGAAAAGAACATTTTAAATATTGTGTATATATTTATATGAATTTTAAAAGATTTGGACAAACTAGTTGAAAGTTGATGTATTTAATCATTGGAGGTGTAGTAATGTATTTTAACTAATACTAATATGTTACCTGTAGAAGGCCAAGTTTGCCTCAAGGTCTTCCAACAAACTGTGTTTTCTCATGTAGAGATTAGGACAAACTAGTTGAAAGTTGACAAGTTCAATCATTAGAGTTAAAATAGTTTAAATAATAAAGTATTTCCAATATTGTTTTATCTAAAAAGGCCAAGATTACGTCAAAGTGTTAAACCAAAATGTGATTATTGTTATAGATCCGAGAGGTTGTTTTAGAGCTGTGGCAGCATGAGTTAGTATTAGAAGGCAGGGCTCGAGCGGCGGCCTGGGCGGCCGAGGCGGTGCGTCGGATCAGGGAAGGCGCTCTGCCCCTCTCACCAGCGGTGCTATACCAAGAACTGGTTGATCTATTCAAGGATAGAGGTAGGATTAACTAACTTTTTTTCGAGAAAGGTTTTATACGAGCAAACGGCCTACTTGATGGGCAGTAATCATCGTCGCCCATAGACATAAGTAATATAAGAGATGTTGCGGATGCGTTGCCAAATTTGGTTTTTGATTAAGAAAGAGGACTATAAGAAAATGACAGTTAAGGGTGGGAATAGGGAAAATGCAACCGGTCCACTCACTCATCGGACCAAACGCAGATATTAAAGGCTACTTCACACCGATCTTCTGTGAGAGGGTGGTACTTCCCCGGTCGAGCCAGCACATTTTCGAACTGTAGTAACTTATCACAGCTAGGCTCTACTACTAATTACATTTTTATTCCTTTTTCGGGACTTAAAATCATATTTGACAATTATATTCAGATAAAATTAGTATCGTTTTATCAGAAACGTCAGATATTATCTTCAAATTTTATTTTAGTAATATTTTGGACAAGGCTTCAATACTACTTATTTAAGTAGAACTATGTTACATTCCAGTATGGCGTCGCAGCATGGTGATCTTCGTATGTGGTGCTGCGTTAGGTGGGGGCGCAGGCCTGATGGTAGGGCTCCGGGCCGGCACCCGCGCCCCTCTCGGGCCTCACGCCAGGGCGCTACACACACAAAGCGACCAGACTGTACTCCTGGTCGAAGATGCTGTGTCTCCAGGTATGTACATGATAAAGGGTGTTTGTGGTGAAGATATTCTACTTAATTCGCGAAAATCTTTTTGTTATATTAAGATATCCGCTTTTTATTAAATTCGTATGAATGTCAACATGTTATAGTGCGTTTGATTTAAGCTGAGCTTTGCATTTGTGTGAGTGCACACGGATAGTGTAGGTGTGATGTCAAATTTTTGAATGCCACGTTCTTTTCTAGTTTTGAACCGGTTAATTCTGCTTTTACTTCGCCTCGCACTTACCATTTGTACTGATAGCAACTTCAAATGTTGAAAACGCAATGTCAAGTGAAGGAAAAATTGTATTGTTTTTTCAAAAATTTTATGACTTAATATTTTTTTCCCATAATATTTCTATTTAGCCTTTTACATGTTTTGCTTATTTTATTTTTAATCTAGAATAGCTGTAGCACTTATGTATCTATTTAAATACATATAATAAAATTGAATTCTGAAAGTTTTTTGTCTAACTCTACTTTTACTTTCACTCACACAAATGCAAAACTCAGCTTAGGTCTAACGGACTATACATATACTAATATAGGATTTATAACACTTTTTGTCTGTCCATCTGTGTCTGTTTCGCTTTATATCCGAAATTGATGGACCAATTCTCACGGCACTTTCACAGATGGATAGCTGCTGTAGTAATGGATGACATAGTATACATTTATTTTAAAGATTTTTCTTATAAATAGGAAGTAATACCTTATATATATTGGACCATTATCGCCAGGAGTGTCAGCGGGGGAGGTGCTAGTCCGTGTTCAGTCGTTCAGCGTGTGTCCCGTGGACCGCGCCGTGCTACGCGGCCGGGGATCCGCCTTGCGAGCTCTGCTGGGGACCGGGCCCGTCACTGTGGGACGAGGCTTCGCGGGTAACACAGACACACACACAGACACACACACACACACACGATGCGATATAAGTGTCCATATCTCTTATAATACTAACTTATAGCGTAAATAATATTAATACATAAATATTAATACGAGGTACAACTGCCGCAAGCCAAAAACATTTTCTTTACAAGTTTTTAAAAACAATACTTCTTTTTATAATCCGGTTATCAGAATGTGTCGCCTTTATAATGAAATAACTAATAATAATAATCATGAAATTGATATTTTTAACACAAATCAAGCTACCTTTGTAAATATTGTAAAAAAATGTCTATTTTAAAAATGCAATTTTGTAAATTAAAAAAATTTTAATTATTAACAATTATATTTCTTTTGTCTTTTTTGTAAATTCAAACAAAAATTGTTTATTATACCATTTATTTATTTTCTTCTTGTAAATTTAATTCGTGTAACTTCATTGAATATCACTTTTAATATTTTATTTTTGTCTTTTTTTGTTTAGTTCATGTAATTTAATTTTATTATAGTCTTGATATACCTACTGTTGTTATTGTTTAGTACTAATATATAGTTATCTCCTGTATTGGAATTTGTTAACTGTAATAATTGGCAATCCCGGCATGTTGTGGATGCACCCTTAGGGTTATAATCTGTTCGATACTATTAATGTTTAAGAAATATTCTCTATGTGATTGTGACCTGTTGTGTTTGCCTTAATAAATAAATAAATAAATGTGAAAAGTTTAACTCGAAGTTTACTATATATAATATTTTGTTCGTACAACAAGTGAATGTACTATAACAGCTGTATCCTATTAGGAGTTGTGCTGGACGTGGGTCAAGGGGTCAATGACCTGGAGCTGGGAGACGAGGTGTGGGGCGTGGTCAGTGAGTGGAGTGGGGGCGGCGCTAGTGAACTACTGGCTATTAGGAGGTGAGGATATACTACACACATATATACAGGAGGTATATATAATGTAAATAAAAAAACGTCAAGTAATTCTTTAAAAAGATATATGAACATATTTTTTTATTAAAATCATTTAAATTTTCAGTATGTAACTATAGTAACTATAGTAACATGTCTTCATAGACAATAGAGATAGACATTCATATTTATCTTCATTAAAAATTCCTCAACTCTGCCTGCAGCATATTAATATATGTATGAGTATATATTGCTAATATTATATGATACTTAATCATGTCATTTCCTTGTTACCCAGGAGTCGTGTGAGCCGTTCCCCGCGCGGCGTGTCTCCCCCCCACGCGGCCGCCCTCCCCTGGGGGGGCACGCGGGCCTTGAAGGCGCTGGGAAAATATGATGTGAAGGGCAAGAGGTATGATAGGAAACGTGAAATGATATGTGGAAAAGGAAAAGTAAATGACATTTAAGGTTTAGTATACGTCAAACGAGATAAGCGAGAGTCCAAGGGAACACATTATTCTTGCTTATAGATGTTTAACACTAACCCGAGTTTCTCACTAATGCAGGTTCATAGGTAACATTTCTCTCTTAAAGAAGTCACATTCGACATATTGATACTTTATAAGGTATCAAGATGCTTACAACAACAACCTGTTATACAATTTTATTTTATTTATAACTTATTTACTCTATAAAAAAGGTCAATTTCGTTTGGGTTTCAGTTTTTGTATTTTGAATGTGTCCCTCTAACTAATAAATTTGCTTAATCAACAATCGTCGCATATTGAAAGTACGTTGGACCGTCTTCAACGCATTTAAAACTAGCATCATTGAAATAATTTTTATTTCTCTTTCCGGAATATAAATAAATAACGCTAGACTGTCGCTTGTAGAGGTATAGTGAAGGAGCAGTCTCACTTACAGATGTCTATGTAGGAAAAACCACTCTTATAGAGATTTCTCGCTAATAGAAGTTATGGAAGCTTAAAATGACGGGTCCTGGCTATTACTCTCACTTATACATTTCTCATTTATCCAGGTTTGACTATAATGAGAAATTTTGGAAATGTAACGGTTTGATTGGAGAAAATTTACTATTGACAGTATACATTTGAGTATATAAAGCTTGTACGGATAATCAGATAATTCCCTACTAATATTATAAATGCGAAAGTAACTCTGTCTGTCTGTCTGTTACGCTTTCACATCTAAACCACTGAAATGATTTTAATGAAATTTGGTGCAGAGATGAAGTTGATCTTGAGAAAGAACACAGGATAGTTTTTATCCCAGACTTTTGAAAGGTTCTCTTGGAAACGCGATACAACCAAACTCCACGCGGGCGAAGCTGCGCAAAGCTAGTATATATATATATATATATATATGTGTGTGTGTGTTCCAGAGTATGTGTGGTAGGAGGCAACACGTCCGCCTCATGTCTGTTCGTACAGCTCCTGTGTGGTCGAGGAGCGAGGGTGTGTGTCGCTGAACACGTGAAGGCACATCCAACTATGAAGGCACTCGGTATATATAATATATTAACTTCAAAAAGATAGGGTTTGAAATTTTTACATTTTTAATTAATGAGCACTGGATTTTTGTATATAATGAACAAATTATAAAGAAATCAATTATCGTTATTGAGAAAATGAGTAATAGTGTAGTTGTAGAGCGCATGTCAGTACTACCCTCCAAAAAAATGACAAGCAACATCCATCGACGAAACTATGAGTACAATAGTTAAGATACGGATGTCTTGTCTGAAGAAATAACTTAAAGATATTGTGAGCTGTCTATACTTAACACAGAAATACTAATTATCTAACATTATATATTATATATCAATAAATAAAACTATGTGTTTGTTTGTTATTTCAAATTAAAAGATTTTCACAAAAGGTATGTGAGTGTATATGCGATACCTACATTGAGACGAAATTTGTACATTCATCTGTCTTTTTGTTTCAGCCAATATCTAAAACGGCTTGATCAATTATTACTCGGGTTAATAATTTGTTCATTATATAAATTATAACATACTTTGCCTTTTACTTCTGTTCTGAATGTCCTAAGTCGTTTGTTTTCATGACTCCATACACACAACCTCTATATTACTAACTCCACATATGTTTGTTCAGGTGCGCACGAGTTCATCGACCTTTCGTCGGAGGCGTGGTGGGTGTCCCTGGAGAAGGCGGCGTCGCGGGCCGCGCTCTGGGACACGCTCGTACTGGGAGACACCGCGCCTAACATACCGTATAAGGGACTTGTCAAGTTAGTGTTGGAATAATTTGTCAAGTTAATATCGTAATAATTTTCTTTATACCGTTTTATAAGGCGTATAAGTATCTTTTTTAATAATGCTACAAATCACGGTGATTTTATGTAATAACGCTTTTCATTCCACGTTTATGAATATAATTTTATAAGTCACGTTTATATGTATGCTAGCTTTTCGCCCGCAGCTTCGCCTGCGTGGAGTTCGGTTATATCGCGTTTCCAAGAGAACCTTTCAAAAGTCTGTGATAAAATCTATCCTAAGTTCTTTCTCAAGGTCAACTCCATCTCTGTACTAAATATCATTAAATTCAGTTCAGTGGTTTAGGCGTGAAAGCGTAACAGACAGACATACAGACAGACTTACTTTCGCATTTATAATACTAGTAGGGATATAAATATTATAAGTGTTTAAGTTTTCCGGACCTTCCAACTTTCTGACATCGAAAGTAATTTATATGTATAAGTTAGTTGCATAGTGATAATTTTCGGTTACTTATATTACGGATAATATAATATAGTAACTAAAAGTTTATGTATGTATAATGTAGTTTATACATGAGAACAATATACAAAACACAATATATATTTTAATTTTATAATTTTTGCCAGAATCTGAATATAATAATTGTATTTTGTACTAATTCGCACAGAATATACATTGATGGTTCTACGTTTCAATTTTTAATGCACATTATTATTGTATCTCTGAATCTAATTCATAGTAAATTGTTTATTAATGCCTTTTCTTGAATAAACATGTAAGATTCCTATATCCTACTAATATTATAATTGCGAAAGTTTGTGAGTGTGTGTGTGTATGTTTGTTACTTCTTCACGCTCAAACGGCTAAACCGATTTTGATAAAATTTTGTAGACGTCCAGGAGTAACACATAGGCAAGTTTACATCCCGGAAATCCGCGGGTAACGCCGCGGGGCGCAGCTAGTTTATCATGATGATGATTCCTATATATATCTTGTTTCTATATATGAGTGTATGTGTGTTTGTATCAGATCTTCAAGTCGCCTGTGTTCCATCTCGCTCCGCCCCCCCTCCCTGTGGACGGACCGCCTCCCCTCGCCCCTCTGGCCGGCCTTCTGTGTCGCCTTCATGATGTACAGGCTGCTCAGGGTGAGTTGACAACATCATACATATTATTATCTAATAATATAATACTAGTGAACTCACTCTCCAATGGTAGGTGATAGTTGTTGATTAAAATTTGTAAATATGATGGCATATGATGTTTATAAAAGTTTTAAAGATCTTTATTCTCAACAAGACAATACATAGTCACTTATTTGAGAACATTACTAACTTAAACATACAACTTTGTTAACATTCTTCACACCAAGTTTTATTTAATCTGTAGTGATTAGTAGGAAATTAATAAGGGAATAAAAGAAAAGAAAATTATACATTAAATTATATGAGAAAATATATAAGACAGAAGTCTAAGGTAAAATGAAGTATAAGTTATTTCAATAAATATCAACTTTAATCTATGTTCTAAATATATGTACTTGCAAATATTAGATAGTAACATATATATATAATCTTTGTTCATATATCAGTGGTCAGTTGGTCTCGGTTGGCACACTGACTGGTTGGAAGATGGTCATCAGAGTGAACAACTCGAGCTATTGAGGGAAATGGTCGACGAAGGACAATTGGCACCTGTACTAGACAAGGTTAGAGAAATATATAGATGTTTCTTACAAACATTACTTAATACTTATAATCTCAAGGCGAGATCAAATCAAAATTAATTTTACTTGCAAAAGCTTAAGATTGAAAACATAAAAATAGAATATAAGTATGTTTTGTTGCATTATATATTTTTATAATGATTTTGAATATATTATATATTTCAGGTATACATGCCTCACGATTTCGAAGCGGCGCTCGCACATGCGTGTAGCGATGAAGCGGTCGGAACGACAGTCATACGATTCCCATGAAGATAATAATAATATAGAAAATATAGCTCAAACTAAATATATACAAAAATCTTTATTTGAATTGTAATATATAATTTTTTGAAAGGATTTATAATTTATATACATATATTTTTTATAAAATTAATAAAATAACGGCGTTCCTCGATGTAACTTACTTCCTAATTTTTATTTTATAATTCATAACGAATTACAAACAATATTCTAAATGAAGACTTTAATGTAGTCTGTATATAGTTGTAAATAGAACATGGTGCTAACATTTTAACTTGCAACATTCGATTTTGTAATACATTTCTATTTATTTTCCCAACACTGCCATATGTGTAATATATTAAATGGATTTGATCACGGTATTATATTATCTGTGAAAATGAATAAATTTTTGTATTAAATTTTACATATTGAATGTTGTGGTTGCATTATACCGATGTCCCTTCAATGAACTGCGCCATCCGTATACAAAACATGTAAATAATAGTTGAATGTAGATAGAAATCAATTAAATATATAATAAAGAGGAAGTTTTTTATTTCTTTATACTTTAAGTTCTTCATTACAGAAGGTCGTGTCTCTGAAAGGTTCTTGACGCTTTGTTCAGGAAACCTTTCCACTTTAAGTAATAGAATAATATTTACTAATCATCAAATAAAAACAAACTACAAGACAATAATTTTTGGAAGAAAAGATTTAGGATTTATTGTAGATCTCTCATTTATAAAATACTAGCTTCCGCCCGCGGCTTCGCTCGCGTGGAGTTTTGATAAAAAGTAGCTTATGTACTTTTTCAGGTTTCAGACTATCCATATCCAATTTTGCAACAAATGGCTCAGCATATTAGCCGTGCAACAAACATTTACACAGTTATAGTAAATTTATTTGAATATTAAGGATTATAATAAAGGAACGGTATAGATTTGGGTCTAGCTTTTGGTTAAAAGAGAGTAGATATGTTTAAAAAAAAAATAAAAAATAATAAAGTAGGTAATAAGTATAAGGTATGTATTCCATTAAGTGGCAGAAAGTTCCCAGGAAAATTTAGTGGTCCCTTATGTCCAATAGACACTTCCCGGGGCCAGCGTCACGTTGTGTACAAAAATATTTTAAAATGACCTAATTTAAAACATTTTTGTACACAACGTTTGCTGTTTGCTTATTATTTGTTAAAATGTGGAGATTGTTTGGACTCGACACTCGCGAGCAGGCCACGTACAGTTGGCCACGTGAAAAACAGTTTTTCTCTAAATGGACACCTGCTACTTTAAGTGTTTGCCCTTGCGCTATGTTAATGGTCATTGTGTAGGCGGGTTAGAGGAGAAACTGGATTCTTTTAAACTGAAAAGGTGAATCTGTAGGGATCATGGGTATGCGGGGAATTAAAACTTCTTCATCTTTAGCTATTCCTGTTATTATAATTGCTCTAATATTATTGCGTCCTAGCTGCGTAATAAAATAATCGAATCCCGTTGCATAGTCTCGGCGCTTCGAGGTTACTCGGTTACAAAACTGGAACCCCAACTTTCAGTCTCAGCTTATGAGACGGCACTCCAGACAGCTCTAAAGAGTTGAGAAACTCTGTAGGATAAGATGTCACCTGTTCACTGTCCATGACAATGTCTACTGACAAATATACGACAACATCGCCTTGCCCATGCGACAGCGTTCGTTCATTGGTCTGTTCCACGATTTCATTGGTCGGTGCTAATATTGCCCTTTCACACAGCCTCTCTCTATTCCTTATGTTATATTTTAAACCGGAATAGACGTTGTTTTTAAGATCTACCAAGTTGTGAACAGCATTATAAAATTCTTGATTTAATTTGGTTGGCCACGATTGCTGTTTTTTGTAATGTTACACACTGGAATTTCCTTATGAGGTAAATTTAATGGGAGATTAAGTACTGAATGTGCCATGCGGCCTCCATTGAGCAGCGTCGCCGCAATCCCAGAGGAAGCTACGACAACAGCTATTCCTTTGTCTTTTCGGATTTGGGCTAAAAGTAAATTTATTGAATAGTTTTCCTAGTGCCTCCTGGCGCATCTAAGAAAATCAATCCGCCCTCACTATTATCGATTCTTTGCACAACAAAATCATAAACTAATTTTTGTTCCGTGTTCAATCGAGGAACAGACTCTGATATTTGTTGCTGTAAAAAAAGAGACATTGTAGTCCAGTTCTCTTATTAAATCACTACTGACTTCTCCAATTCCTTGTGGACGGTTCATTCCAAAATCTGATAATGTCTTCCCGGATATAGCCCTCACTTGGTCTTCAATCTTAGTTAGCGCCTCATTATATACTAAATCATAAAATGTGACATTGGGATTATTTTGTTGTAGTCTGTGCATATCATTTTGGTACTTTTCCCATAATATCTGAGTATTTGAAAGACCACACGTCGCTATGGGAATGGCAAAATGATCTCTCACCTAAGCTGCTGATCTACAATGTGCAGCCTCTTCTAATGTGGAGTCCCAATGATTATCATTCTCTAACATTCTTTATTATCGTTACTAAATTAATCAACTGTTAGTAAATCCACTGTTAATAAATTAATTCACTGTTAATAAGTTAATCTACTGTTAATAAATTAATCCACTGTTAATAAATTAATCCACTAATAATAAATTAATCCACTGTTAATAAATTAATCCACTGTTAATAAATTAATCAAGTGTTAGTAAATCCACTGTTAATAAATTAATTGATTGTTAATAAATTAATCAACTGTTAGTAAATCCACTGTTAATAAATTAATCAACTGTTAGTAAATCCACTGTTAATAAATTAATTGACTGTTAATAAATGAATCAACTGTTAGTAAATCCACTGTTAATAAATTAATCAACTGTTAGTAAATCCACTGTTAATAAATTAATTGACTGTTAATAAATTAATCAACTGTTAGTAAATCCACTGTTAATAAATTAATCCACTGTTAATAAATTAATCAACTGTTAGTAAATCCACTGTTAATAAATTAATCCACTGTTAATAAATTAATCAACTGTTAGTAAATCCACTGTTAATAAATTAATCAACTGTTAGTAAATCCACTGTTAATAAATTAATTGACTGTTAATAAATTAATCAACTGTTAGTAAATCCACTGTTAATAAATTAATTGACTGTTAATAAATTAATCAACTGTTAGTAAATCCACTGTTAATAAATTAATTGACTGTTAATAAATTAATCAACTGTTAGTAAATCCAATGTTAATAAATTTATCAACTGTTAATAAATTAATTGACTGTTAATAAATTAATCAACTGTTAGTAAATCCACTGTTAAAAAATTAATCCACTGTTAATAAATTAATCAACTGTTAGTAAATCCACTGTTAATAAATTAATTGACTGTTAATAAATTAATTGACTGTTAATAAATTAATCAACTGTTAGTAAATCCACTGTTAGTAAATTAATCAACTGTTAGTAAATCCACTGTTAATAAATTAATTGACTGTTAATAAATTAATTGACTGTTAATAAATTAATCAACTGTTAGTAAATCCACTGTTAGTAAATTAATCAACTGTTAGTAAATCCACTGTTAATAAATTAATTGACTGTTAATTAATTAATCAACTGTTAGTAAATCCACTGTTAATAAATTAATCAAATGTTAGTAAATCCACTGTTAATAAATTAATTGACTGTTAATAAATTAATCAACTGTTAGTAAATCCACTGTTAATAAATTAATCCACTGTTTATAAATTAATCCACTGTTAATAAATTAATCAACTGTTAGTAAATCCACTGTTAATAAATTAATTGACTGTTAATAAATGAATCAACTGTTAGTAAATCCACTGTTAATAAATTAATCAACTGTTAGTAAATCCACTGTTAATAAATTAATTGACTGTTAATAAATGAATCAATTGTTAGTAAATCCACTGTTAATAAATTAATCAACTGTTAGTAAATCCACTGTTAATAAATTAATTGACTGTTAATAAATTAATCAACTGTTAGTAAATCCACTGTTAATAAATTAATCCACTGTTAATAAATTAATCAACTGTTAGTAAATCCACTGTTAATAAATTAATCCACTGTTAATAAATTAATCAACTGTTAGTAAATCCACTGTTAATAAATTAATCAACTGTTAGTAAATCCACTGTTAATAAATTAATTGACTGTTAATAAATTAATCAACTGTTAGTAAATCCACTGTTAATAAATTAATTGACTGTTAATAAATTAATCAACTGTTAGTAAATCCACTGTTAATAAATTAATTGACTGTTAATAAATTAATCAACTGTTAGTAAATCCAATGTTAATAAATTAATCAACTGTTAATAAATTAATTGACTGTTAATAAATTAATCAACTGTTAGTAAATCCACTGTTAATAAATTAATCCACTGTTAATAAATTAATCAACTGTTAGTAAATCCACTGTTAATAAATTAATTGACTGTTAATAAATTAATTGACTGTTAATAAATTAATCAACTGTTAGTAAATCCACTGTTAGTAAATTAATCAACTGTTAGTAAATCCACTGTTAATAAATTAATTGACTGTTAATTAATTAATCAACTGTTAGTAAATCCACTGTTAATAAATTAATCAAGTGTTAGTAAATCCACTGTTAATAAATTAATTGACTGTTAATAAATTAATCAACTGTTAGTAAATCCACTGTTAATAAATTAATTGACTGTTAATAAATTAATCAACTGTTAGTAAATCCACTGTTAATAAATTAATCAACTGTTAATAAGTTAATCTACTGTTAATAATTTAATCAACTGTTAATAAGTTAATCCACTGTTAATAAAAAATCCTTTGTTAATAAATTAATCCACTGTTTACTAATAACTATAATAAATACTAATAAACTAATTGAAACTTATTCACTTGTTCCTAGAAGTTAGAAAGACAAATGACAATATTTAATAATAATAAAATGGGGAAAAAATTATATGAACAGTTTACCGACCAATCAGAGAGCCCCGTTTCATTAGGTAGTTATCAAATCTAATGTCAAAAAAAAACGTTTGTAAAAAAAATACTTATAAATTAAAAGTTAATTAAAAAACATTGTCCAGCGGACAAAATTGTGAATCTAAACCATTCCCAGAACCCCTTGAACAAAAACAAAAAAAATCATCAAAATCGGTCCAGTCGTTTGAGAGAAGTTCGGTGACATACACACTCACAGAAGAATTATATATATATGTATAATAAAAAATTAATATATATATGTATATATAAAATAAAAAATTATTATATGTCTGACTTAAAACATTTTGACGTTACGGTCAGTATTATTGCTACTGGTTTATGTCGTTAAACAGATATATTTATTTCTAAATCTTCGGACTTTTGTTTTCTAGGATCTGGTAAATATATACCTTATCTTACAAAATAAGAATAAAATAAACGCTTTTATTCCATTCAACAAACTCCTTCATTTTTCCTCCACACAGTACTCAAGAGAATAAATCATCCAACAAATAGAAACATTGACATTGGCAAAATATTCTACCAATCCATCGCGAATGGAGCTGGAGGATAAAAAAATCTTGCATATCGTAATCTTGTAGTATCGAAATAGGTACACGATTAAAATACTGGAAAATATGTTTAGTTTAATGCAGACTTATGGTAAGGATATTCACTGTTATGTATGTATTGGAATAAATATTTAATAGGATCATTACAAATATGTTTAACTGGGTACAAAGTATTTGTGGTAATAAATAAAAGAATGTTCACCAAACCGTATTTATTGTTTAAACACAACCTAAACTACATCGACAACAAACATGGATACATTTGAAACATTTGTTATTAAGTAAAAGTATTGTCTTAAGAGTAAACATACAAAAAAAATATGTTACATCGGGTGCTTACAGTAAAGGGATACATTTTGTTATTTTCTCAAACAGGTTATAATAAAGTGAGATATAATCAAGTATTTAAATGCTTTTATATTAAGGCTCAGGGTTAGCAAATGCAAGCTATTGGTTACATTGGTCCTAAATATTTGAGCTTAAGTAAATGCTAGTTCAGAGACAACCCTATTGACATATAGGAAAAATTAATATCATTTTCTCTATTGGATATCAGTTATAATTGAAGTATGTTTGTAGTCATTTTATACCTAAAGTCTACTAAATATATAACAACACCAATAAAATGTAAGTAAAACCTAAAAAAATACTATTGCCTTCACTGAGAAAGAGTCAAAAAGATATCAACTCTTACACATATGTATTAAGATTTATTTGAAATTAATCACAGTATATTAATTTACCGCTAAGAGATTCCTTTATTCAATATTTTATATCAATGGAATGTAATCACTGTAATGTTTCATTATAATTTAACTAAAAATAATACTATTTTTATATAATTTTAATATATTTAAATTATTAAATCGAGTCAATTTCAATACTCCACCATAGCCACACAATATATAATAGAAAACTATGTACTTTATAAACAAATTAATATGTCAATAATAAAAACTAATTAAAGAAACCGCACCTAAAAAATAAACAACACTTAATAATCACAATAACCAAATTAATATGCCAACAAGATACCAATAAATAAAAATATAAAAGATTATATATTCTCAATGTAGCATTTATTATTGAGTATATTCAATTTTGGAAGTATTTATGTTATGCGAAGCAGCAGAGATATATTAAGCATTCATCGCCATCTGAAACAGTTAAAAATACATTGTTATATAAAATAGTATATTGAAATAAGATCCCAATATATATTATATAACTAAAATTAATATATTTAACTAAAATATTACTCAAAATAATTTTCAAATATATCATTTTAAAATTTATTTTATAAAACTATATTAAATTCGTCATGTATGTATTGTGCTAAGTACCAAACTGAATGACAGCAACTAATATTATAAAGTTATCTACCTATATTACACTTAACATCATATTATTATTTAAACAATAATGAGCAAGTATAACTACTACATAAGAAAATATAAGACAGTATAATAGATCTATACTAATATTATAAAGCTGAAGAGTTTGTTTGTTTGTTTGAAAGCGGTAATCTCTGAAACTACAGGTTCGAATTGAATAATTCTTTTTGTGTTGGTAGTCCAGTTATCGAGGAAGGCTGTGGGCTATATAACATCACGCTACGACCAATAGGAGCAAAGATATAGTGGTAAATGTGTAAAAAACGGGAGAAATTATTTCATCTTTGAAGCCTTCCGTTGGATGCGCCGTGAAAACGGTTCAAGATACCCAAAAAATATGTATTAAACAATAATAGCTCTTTTAATGATCTAAAGAACAGTCCGCGACAGTATATGTCTATCTTTTAAGATTAACTCACAAAAAACGTTTTTATGGTACCTAATTTGGTCAAAATAATTTGTTTAAGTTGTAACAACATAATAATATTAATCTTTATTCAAATAAACAAATAAATATGTTGTTGGTTAAGAGTACTTCATTTTGAATTTAAAAAAAACATATGTTTTATCCTGAAAAATCTACGGGAACTCGACCATTCTGAAACCCCGCAAGAACGGGAACTATGTGGGAAGAACGAAAAATCTGCCAGAAGTCACTATTCCATGCGGACGAAGTCGCGGCAAAAGCTAGTATTAGATATAATTCTGTATTATATATGTTTATCATACCTAGTATAGGAATAGTTCTGGGAAGTATTTGTTGTATGGTGCATTCTGGCACTTGGCGGCCGGTGAGTTGGCTGACGGAGCCAGGAGAGGTTCCTCGGACAGAGAGTTGAAGATCTCCTCCAGTTTATCCTTTATCTCATACTGGAATAGAAACAAGATAATGTGTTAATATATATTAAGATACATTGATAATTAAATGATTTTGATATTGCATTATACACATTTTATGCTTTTGAACCCTAAAACATCTGTTTTGATGAAAAAACATACCTTTTTTTAATTCCACTGACTATGTCTATGTTAAAACTATTCGTAATTGATAAATTTGTTTAATTTTTGACTAGATACATGTGATCACAGTAAAATGCTAGAGTGCAGTGAAGGTGAAAGCATATTATTCTCAAGTATATTTATTATTATTGCCTTCAGATCAATTGAAGACTTGGTTTATAATTAATGCTATATGGATAAGTTTTTAGGATTCCATAACAAAAATATTGCTCTTTTAATAACACAGATACAGATATATAATACGGGACTCTTTGTGTGAATCCGACTTATACTTTATATATTTAGTTGTATTTGTAAATATACATACTTAGTACTGGTAAGTCCTTAAGTGTATTTAGTTCGTGTATTACCTTGGGTTGCGTGAGTCTCAGAAGACTAGTGAAGGGCGCGGTTCTGAACGTGTTGTTGAGGTTAGCGCGGCGCTTCTCAGCATCTTTCCTCTCCGCTTCGCTCGGGCCGCGGGCTGCTGACACTAGCGCTTCCAAACTGACGCTCTCACTCTGACCGGAGTGCTACGAATATGTATACAGGGTGACTGGTGAATTACTATCAATATTTAAGGAGCATACTCGATACATGATTCTCATTCGAATTATGTAAAAAAAATAGGCACTTAATTTTTGACGAAATTTCCGTATAAATAAGTAAAGTGTTGACACGTTCCAAATGTTCAAGTGTGGACGCGTGCGGCGGCGTGCTGATACAACACTACGTCACGATACGCGTATGTGTGAGTGTCAGTGTATACCTAATCTGTAGGGCGTTCACACGATGCGTAATTAATTACACAACTTTTGGTTAACTTTGCTTTGAAGTTTATTAATATTTATGTTATATTAATTTTTATTTTGTCATATATGATCGTCAAATATCACGTCCTCAAATATCGATAGTAATTCACCAGTCACCCTGTATACAGCACGTCAATAAAGAGGTTTTATATTAATAATTCACTGTCACAGCTCACTATATTTTAGTTAGTGGCGTTTCCTTAGATTGCGTCGATCTCATGTGTGAATATTATACTGAAACTGAGATATATAAAGAGAGATTTGTTAATGAATATAATCACGACTAGATATTAACTTGGATACCGCTCAGTTGAGAATTCGTTTAAAAATGATGCCTTTTTAATATTTAAGTTTTGACATTGACATAATATTTGACTTTTAAATCATTCGGCGGGAAACTCGTGTTACTTTGAAAGTACCTGAATGTATGTAATCATTAAATGTATTATAACAAAGTTAATACTGTACCGTCAGTTAATAGTTACGAGTAAGAATTCAATTGTATCAAGACATCTATCGTTCTTAATTAAAATTGTATAATCTATATAAGATAAAATATATCAAATATTATTTACCTACTTACAACCTAATAATTACATTAAAAGCAATAGCTACTTATCAAAATTTACGATTCTATAACAAGAATTAATGAGCCCCGTAAACAAGTAATAATCGAAGAAATGATTTAAACTTTTCCTTTTTACAATATTTTAACTAAAAGTAAATGGATCATAAATTTGGTATGACTGTTCAGTGTTCATTGATATCTTGTTTCTTAAGTAGTTATTATTATTACTTATTAGTTTTTAACTTCTATATATATAAAAATGGATTGCTGTTCCTTAGTCTCGCTACAACTCGAGAACGGCTGAACCGATTTGGCTAATTTTAGTCTTGAAATACTCCTGGGAGTCCAGGGAAGGTTTAAAAGGTGAGAAAAATTGGTAAAATTGCCGGGAAAACCCTAAAAACAGCCCTTTTCTATTTCCCATACAAACGATTTTTTGACATTAGACTTGACAACTAACTAATATGTCAATCATTCTGTTCGATTGAAACAGTAGAAATTTAATAAATACCAATACCGGGTTATTGAATACGGAATAGAGTTTGCCCGGTCAGCTATACCTATATTACTATTGACGAAATTAACGCGGACGAAGTCGCGGGCAAAAACTAGTATATAATATAACTGTTACATTTTAGGTGACCAATTGACCACACAATATTATGATTACCTGAACAATATTTCACACCGCTTACATGTTGGATAAATTAGTATAATGATACCTAATTAAGAATTACTTGATACTATACATTTCTAAGTCTACATATATGTATGTACACTACATAATATAAATGTATGTATATACATCAAATTGTACTGTTTGTTTTTCTTTCCTCATATCTTCTGATATGTGACTTTCTTCGTGGCCCCACTGCCAGAAATCGTTGTCATTTCTCTGTGTTACATTGATATATTTATAATTCTTTCTAATATTATTATAAATGCGAAAATAACTCTATCTGTCTGTCTGTCTGTCTGTTACGCTTTCACGCCCAAACCACTGAACTGATTTTAATGAAATTTGGTACAGATATACAGTTGACCTTGAAAGAACATAGGATAGTTTTTATCCCAAACTTTTGAAAGGTTCTTTTGGAAACGCGTTATAACCGAGCTCCACGCGGGCGAAGCTGCGGGCGGAAAGCTAGTTGAATATAAATGCAATATAGCTGATAAAGTATAATACTACATCACGGTCACTTTCATTATCATATAGATAGTTATATTTCGGTAATTTAGTTAATTTTATATAACAAGTACCTTATAGATTTTGGTTATAGAAACTAGTTTAGTGACAATAGATTTGGTATTAACTGGCAGCGACATCTATAATAATCTTTAACGAGTTCACCAACTAAATTGAATGTATGTTACATCTTTTTGCTATATAAAATATAATTTCGTGAAATTTCTATGCAAATCCATTGAGTAGTTTCAGTATGAGAGTGTAATAAACTACTCGTGTATACTACCGCGATACTTGTAGTAAGTAGTATATTACGTATGTTCCGAAGTCGTGCGCGGTCGGCCGGTGGTTGTAATTATATTTCTCTATGAACATCCTGTATTCTTCATCCAGATCGTCGTACTGAATTCTCTGTTCAAATATTTTTACTTTAATAGTTTTATATGGTACTAATACATTGACCTAAACATCTTAACATGTATGAATGTGTGAGTGTGTATGTATGTATGTATGTTCCCTCACCCTCTGTACACCTGGAGAGCTGTTAGCGCTGTCCAGATCCGTAGTGGGCCCGGCAGAGATGTCTGCCAGGCTGTCTCTACCCTGGGCAGCGCCTGAACGATAAACATCATATTAATACAAGTGTCAATTGGAGTTACTCGTATACTGGTTGGTCTAGTGTGTGTATGTATTACGCGTATCTACATTGGAAATAGATTATTATCAGTTTTAAAGTCAGGTATGTAATTTAGATAACATTTCAGCTTCAACTTTCCTCTGATAATAATCTGCTTTAAATGCAGATTATTATCTCATGCTAATAACGCTGATTTACACTATCCCCGACGATATATATGTGTATATGTTTGTGTTTGTTTGCTTTTTTGTTTGTTTGTTTGTGCGTGCGTGCGTGCGTGCGTGTGTGTGTGTGTGTGTGTGTGTTCTCTACTCACCAGCCTCGACCCACGAGTGCCTGTGTACGGCGGGTCCGTACCTCGCGCCGCTCGACAGTCGACTACCCTCCACCCCGCACGATGACAAACACTCCGACAACGCCATCTGTTGATAGATAACATGAGTTTATACAAATAAACAATATTATGACTAAATAAATGTAATAACAAAGTGATATAAGACTTAAACAATGTACAGTTACAGAGGGAGTTAATGTTAAGTAAACAATCAGTGATCATTTATAAAATACAATATGTTGTTGTAGAAACTAATAAAACAACATCATATATGTGTGTATTAGTTATACTTGGTTGGTGTTGTTAAGTAATATTATATGAAGTATAATGTAGGTAAATCATTTTATTAAATTGAGTTCTAACAATCAAGCGATACACATATAAAGAATTTAATATAATGTTATCAAATGTTTTTTTTTTTTAATTTTGAAGAATTATATAGAAAATTTTATACATATAAATCGCCTTTCGGTTTTAATCACAAATGGTAATAATTTACTATACTATCTACATATGTTAATATTGACCTGGTCTATCATAAGATAGGGTAGCTTGCTGGGCATCTTTGAGGGAGACAGCTGGTCGAACTGATGCAGCGGGGGCAGTAGGTGGGGGGCCTCCTCACGACGAGCAGCGATGATCTGAACATACATACATATATATTATATATACATTAAATATCAACTTTGGTTGCTGACCGTACTTTAGAATGATAGACGAGCTTCCATTAAGTACATTTCTTTATATATATAATCCTTCTGTGAGTGTGTATGTCACTGAACTTCTCTCAAACGACTGGAACGATTTTGATGAAATGATTTGTGTATGTTCAAAGGGATCTGGGAATGGTTTAGATTCACAATTTTGTCCGCTGGACAATGTTTTTTAATTCATTTTTAATTTATTAGTAGTTGTTGATACAAACATTTTTTTTCACATTATATTTGACAACTAACTAATATGTTAATCATTCTGTCACACTTCAAAACACGGAAATTTATGGCTTTAATAGGTAAACTCCAATAATATAAATAAAAAAACGTAACAGATATTTCTTGATTATAGAGCGATACGAAGTTCGCCGGGCCTTTAGTATATATGTATATAGTGACCTGTGTTATATATTGCTGCAGGGCTGGTAGCAGCATCACGTGACACACGAGTGCCGCCAGCGAGGCGCACACCGCGTGCAGCGCACACTGCTGCCACACGGACAGCACCGGGTTGGACAGGGACGACTGTTGGATACTGTACACAGACATACATACATATTATAATAATGATGTATATAAGTGACGTGGATCATAGAATGAATGTTGAACGAATGAAATACATTTTAATGATCGGTACAATCAACAGATTAAAAAAGATCTTTAAAAGAAAAATTGCTGAGGACAATAATAATATAATTGATTAAAAGCGCCATAAATACGCGAGGATTCGTGACGCTATGGATACATAATAGAATTTGTAATCAAAATTTTTATTTATTAATAAAAAAAAATCCATAATTTGCTTATTTTAGTTTTAATCTAGGATAGCTCTAGCACTTATGTTATGTATCTATTCATAATATAATAAAATTTAGTTCTTAAGGTAGACACCTTAAGAACTAAATTTTGTTTTAAAAATATTTATTTATTTATTTTGTTTGGTACATTTACAGATAACAGATTAAAACATTTAGATACATGAGATAGTACTTAACATATTTAACAATAAATCTACTTTCCAATTACAACAGTATACAGCACTTCAGTGTGTAAGAGATGTAAACACAACTAGACGCAATCTACAAAAGGTAAAAAGATAAAATAAAATAATTTTGTCTAACTCTACTTTTACTTTCATTCACACCAATGAAAAGCTCAGCTTAAATCTAACGGACTATACATATATGTAGTATAGTATTACATACGACAGTATCAGTTGCAGCATATCACACACAGTTTCGTCCGAGGCGAGCTCCACACACAGTAAGGCCAGCGTGGTGTAAATGGCGCTGATGTTCTCCACCGAGTTGGACTCCAGCTGAAGACCTGGGGACACACACACACATACAAACACTAAAATAAAACTATAGAGTAATATATAAATAACACACACACAAATACACTAGAATAATACGAGTAATGTATAAAGAACACACACACACACACACGCACGCACGCACGCACGCACGCACGCACGCACGCACGCACGCACGCACGCACGCACGCACGCACGCACGCACGCACGCACGCACACATATATATATATATATACAACAAACACTGAAATAAAACTACAGTAATGTATAAAGAATACACACACATACATACACACTATACAATCCTACTTATATTATAATTGCGAAAGTTTGTGAGTGTGTGTGTATGTTTGTTACTTCTTCACGCTCAAACGGCTGAACCGATTTTGATAAAAATTAGTATACAGGAAGCTGACGTCCAGGAACAACACATAGGCTACTTTACATCCCGGAAATCCGCGGGTAACACCGCGGGGTGCAGCTAGTAATGTATAAAGTAAGTGCTAACCTTCGTATAGCGAGTTAAATATGGCGTATCCGTGTTTACTGATGAAGATGAGGTCGGGCCGAGAACACTTGCCCACAGACAGACCCAGCGGCTCGTAGTCCACGCTGGAAGGTATATTATTAACATTTTAATAATATACTAACACTAATAACGTTATTAATATAATTAAAGGTAAGGTTGTGTTTATAATATAATACTACATAGTTTTGCCCGCGATTTCGTCTGCGTTAGTTTCAGAATTAGAAATGTATATCTGACTGAGTGAACTCTATTCCTCCTTAAAGACTTCTCCTCGGCATCGTAACGTAATTAATCAAAGTAAGAAAATTATTCGCTCACTTAACAGTAACTTAATAATAAAGTGCCACACAAAATATCAATAAAAAAAGAGCACACTACTTGGAATGTCACTATCACAAAGTAAAGAAAGTTCACACAATATCGTCAATCGTAATATTTTATTCTTTGTTCTAATTTTTTTATTTATTTTTTGGAGTTTACCTATAAGCCATAAATCTCAGTGTTCTGAAGTGCGACAGAATGTAGGCAGTATACAAAATTAGGAACTTAGTAATGTGAGTGAAGTTATAACATAATAATTTAACATGAGTGGGTCCATGTTCGTGTTTGTGTCTGTCTGTGCGTGTGTGTGTGTCCGCGTGTGTGTATATGTGCATGTGTCTGTGCGTGTATGTTCAAGATAATCCGTATCCCTTTGTTCATGTCCGTGTGTATCCGTGTCCCCTAGTCAGTGTGTGTGTGTGTGTGTGTGTGTGTGTGTGTGTGTGTGTGTGTGTGTGTGTGTGTGTGTGTGTGTGTGTGTGTGTGTGTGTGTGTGTGTGTGTGTCTGTGTGTGTGTGTGTGTATCTCACGTAGGTTCTCTCAGTAGGTGCGCGTTCCCCCTCCTATCCAGCAGCGTGTGTAGTATCCTCTGTAACAGTAGCGGCGGCGGCGCGTCCCCGGCGGCCGCTGACAGACGCAGCAGCGCGTCCAGGAAGGCTGCTGGGAACGCCTTGCTCAGCTCACTAGTCTTGTATGTAGTGCCCACCTTGAAGAACATACACAATATATATTATATATATTAACCCATATAAAGATATATGGGGGATAATAAAATGATAAATAGTATCAGCATTAAAGTGTTAAATAAAAGAGTAGGATATTTCATTGATTCTAAATCATATTTGTAGTTTAGACTATCTTATATATAAAATTCTCGTGTCTCAATGTTCGTTCCTGTACTCCGAAACGGCTTGACCGATTCTAATGAAAATTTGTGATCGAATTGGATAGGTCTGAGAATCGGTCAACATCTTTTTCATACCCCAAGTCCTAAGGGTTGTTCACCCCCAAAATTTTTGTTTTCATATTTTTTATAATGTGACATTAAAAATACATACAACTCTAAATTTTTTCTTTTTTGTCACCAAGCCCTATTTTTATTGGCAAAACAATGTTCAACGGGTCATCTACTTTGTATATATGTCGCAACCGGGTGAATTATTCCAGCCAACGCTATCTAGTGGTATACGTTCAGACAACATTATGGAATCGTTTCCGGAACGCCAGCGCCAGTAGCGGCACTCGATGGAGTTTGTGAACTGTATTACTGATTGATTATACCGTGGTTGAGTACAAGTGTCTTTTCTTGATCCTACGTCACCCACCGATAGACTCCCACATAAGAAATCTATGAACAATAACTGTGATATTGGCCTTCCGCCGTCATATGTATGTTTTTCCTTTTCTATAGTCCAAGGCTTATGCTATATTAGGTGTATGTAGCTATATTATTATCACCTTGAGCAGTGACTTGAGCAGTATACTCTGCAGCATGCCGTCGGCGCGCGTGTGCTTCCCGCGCGTGTTGGGTATCTTGCTCACTATGAACATCATGATGTCTATCTTCTGGTAGTCGGGCAGGTGGTCCGCGAACTCTCCCAGCGCGTTGATGAGCGCCTCCTGGTACAACCTCTCGTCGGACTCCTTCTGAAACATAGAAACACGAGATAAAAATAAATATATAATGTATTAAATAATATACAGGGTGACTGGTGAATTACTATCAATATTTAAGGAGAATACTCGGTACACGATTCTCATTCGAATTATGTAAAAAAAATAGGCACTTAATTTTTGACAAAATTTCCGTATAAATAAATAAAGTGTTGACACGTTCCAAGTGTTCCAAGTGTGGACGCGTGCGGCGGGGTGCTGATACAACACATCGCCGCCGCACTCGTATGTGTGTGTGTGTGCGTATACCTAATCTGTGTTCATACGATGCGTAATTAATTACATAACTTTTGGTTAACTTTACTCTGATGTTTATTAATATTTATGTTATATTAATTTTTATTTTTTCATATATGATCGTCAAATATCACGTCCTCAAATATCGATAGTAATTCACCAGTCACCCTGTATATGAATATTCAGATAATTGTAAAATAAGGATTAGAAATACATATATAAATTCTTTTATACCAATCCGTGTATTAGAGAAAAAAAAACTTACACAATCAGCTATTTGAGTTCTAAGTGTCGTATATGAGCCAAGGTATACGACATGATATATGATGATAGAAAACATTTAAGATGATATAATAAGAGTTTTTTATTAAATAATACATATGTAGATAGATGAGATTTGTTAATTCTTTTAAGATGACATTACAAAATATAGAATTCTCTATAAAAATATCATCATATATGGTTCAACAAGTTTTTATATAAAAGTTATATATTGAGATCTAAGATTTTCACGAGTACTCATTTAAATGAAACTAATATTTTCGGATTTTACTTCGCGTTTTTATTTTTGATTACAAACTACATACTCCCGACGTTTCGGCTACTTTTCAGCAACCGTGATCACGGGCAGACGAGATGTCTCGTCTGCCCGCGAAGTAAAATCCGAAAATATTAGTTTCATTTAAGTTATGTATATATTATCATTAAAAATATAACTATGTAATTATATTAAAAATAATAACTTTCTCTAAGTAACGCCAGTATTGAGTGACCTCACCTCTGAATCTCTGGCCACAGACGTTCTCAAGTTGGTAAGCAGATTGTTGATGATCTCCAAAACCGATGGACCTTTAATGATAAAACTTGTTATAATATTACGTGGATACTATATTGATTGCATAAAGTAAATGAATTATTAAAGCGTTTTATTTACTATATCATTGATATTAAACTTAATCAATTTTATTCTTTTTTGAATAAGATAACTCTGATTATGAGAAGGTGATTGTTTTGGTATTATGAGTCATGATTGGTGGAAAATCTGTTTTTTAAGCCCCATCTGTTCATTCATTGCGTTATAGTGAGCTATGATTGGTGACAATTTTATTTGGTAGCCCAAATCTGTTCACTTCATTGCGTTATACTTAGCTCTGATTAGTGGATATCTTTTTTGTTGATCAAAATCTGTTCAATTCATTGCGTTATAGTGAGCTGTGATTGGTGGAAATTTATTTGGTATCCCAAATCTGTTCAGTTCAGTGTCACAATTAGCTGTGATTGGCCGAAATTTATTTGGTATCACTCATTCGTTCAGTTCATTACGTTATACTGCGCTGTGATTGGTGGAAATCCATTTCATCACACTCACCAACACTATCCCCAGCTGCTATAGCGACTATGTTACTGAGGACCGCGGCCCGGGCGGCCCTGACGCGGGTCCGCGAGGCCGGGTCCCCGCAGGTCCCCGCGTCTAGATGCTGCATTAAGGCCTCCACCGCACTGTATGAATACTGGGCCTGAAAATAATAATACATAACTTGTATTATATTATATTATATATGATTTCTGATTCAGAACATCATTCAAAAATTTCATATGAAATATTTTATATGTAATTATGATTATATATTTCAGTAACAGAAATCGTTGTTAGGTTAGGTTAGGTGATATGAACTGAATAATCAGTTGATACTTGTGTTACATCAATTTATATAACCCATACAAACATATTTATATTATTATGCTATATGTAACTTTATCTAAGTAACTTGTAATTAATAAAACATACAATTCCTTACACACAATATGTAAAATATTATTATGAATACTAATATTTTAGTTTCTTTATATAATATATAATATTTACTTGTATCGAGAACATGATGATCTTGAACGTGTGTACGGCGAAGTCGTTCGGCACCCACAGCTCGTGACGATCGAAATGACTGGAAATATAAATATATATATTAATACACACCCATATATCGCCTATATATGGTAATAAATAAATAATTATAGACAAATCATATTCCATCCTTTTAATTACAGTTTACACTTATTTAGTATAAAAACTATACTTACAAGTGGAATAATGATGTAAAAGATGTCATGTATTTTTGAACTTATTTTCTATTTGGTTGAGATTTAAATTCAAGGTATTATATATATTTATCAAGAAAAATTATAACATTCTTTTATATGGTATAGAAGTAATTATTTGTATGTATGGAGATTTGTTTAACATTTGACTCAAGTAATAAACTGATTTCAATGCAACTTTATTGTGATAGTTTCCATATATTTATACCTATCCATGTATATTTAAAGAGCACATTATTCTGTTGAATTTAACAGTTACTAGTTAACAGCTAGTTAGTATATAAAATATAAATTTTATATTTAGTATATATCCTCACGTGAGCACTGGTCGTAGCACGCTCCGTATGTGCCCGAAGGAGGCGCGGCTCACCAGCTCCCTCAGACAGGCCTCCGCCAGGCGTGGCGGGTCATCCTCTAATCCGTCCCTCGCGTCCGTCTCCATACATGTCACAGTTTCGTATTTTTCGGCTGTCTGGAAATATTTATTATACAAGTTATAGCACAGGAAGAATTATCAGGGCTTAGGAATTGTTTACCAAAAAAATATTGATTCAGTTACAAATTATGTTAAACTAACCATATTTAACTATATTAAGTGTTATTATCCTACTAATATTATAATTGCGAAAGTTTGTGAGTGTGTGTGTATGTTTGTTACTTCTTTACGCTCAAACGGCTGAACAAATTTTGATAAAATTTTGTATACAGGAAGGTAACGTCCAAGAATATCACATAGGCTACATTACATCCCGGAAATCCGCGGGTAACCGGGCGCAGCTAGTATATTAATATTTACAAGTGATTTAGTTCAGAAGACACGGCACCTGGAAGCTCTGTATTTTTTCTTTTATTCTAAAGGGGAACGAGTAGACGGCATACTTGAAAAGGGGGGATATTTAGGAAAGAGAGGGAAAACGGAATGTGCAACCGTCTCTTTCACTCATCGGATCAAAAACAGCCATAAAAGGCTACTTCTGTGAGAGGGTGGTACTTCCAATGAGCCAGCACATGTTCGAGCTGTAGTAACTGGACCATAGCTAGGCTATACCAGCTATAAAATATATGTTAGTATTTTCTACCTGCATATTATACAGTAGTGAGGGTACTATCTTATCCATATGTTGCGCCTCCCAAATATTCTCCACGAGGTCATCTGACACAGTCTTCCTTATCACGCCCTGGAATATAAATAATTAATAGTAAATAACACGAAAATAATAGTATTTAATTATTAAGGTTTTAATATGTGGAATGTAAGATCTGACTATGTATGGTCTGTGTCTTAAAAGGTATGAAAGCAATTGTCTAGATTTTTTTTTTATTTATTTAAGATTCACCAATGGTAAATACATCAATACGTACAAAGGTATACAATTTTTATACATTTAAAAACTAAATGCATTGCCTATTAAGGTGAGTACCACTTTCAAATTTGGTAAATAGACTAGAATTTAAAGCCACAATATATTAAATTTGAAGTGTATTTTATATGATTTCATGATAAGTATTTGTAATAAAAAAATGTTATTTATACATTCTATCTTTTTACCTTTCTTAACCTCGTCTTTCTTTAGAAACATTAGTTATTTTTTGTTATTAAAGTTTACAAATTGGCAAAAAAAATATTATATTTATAAAAAATGAAAATTTACTAATACGGTCTCATAATTTTTTCATCCATCTATCGCATGTCGCATTACATATAACATGATAGGTGTACTATATCATACCTGCAGCCCCTGTATCCCTGCCAGCCGTATGTTATCCCTGACCGCCTGGTCGTTATGATTACTGTGACACATGGCAGAGAACTTGGACACGAAGAAGTCATATCTGCGGTGATACGATGGAGTGTCCTCTTCTATATTCGCGAACCTGACGAACTGATTACAAATATTGATGGTTAAATATTGTTTTTTGGTTTTTTGACCTCAAATATATTACTATATATAACTATAATATGTTGAACACGAGTTCTGATGGTTTAGATATTTAAATGAAACTAATATTTTCGGATTTTACTTCGCGTTTTTTATTTTCGATTACGAACTACAAAAATAAAAAAGGTGAAGTAAAATCTGATAATATTGGTTTCATTTAAATGAGTACTCGCGAAAATCTTAGATCTCATTATGTTAAGATATTGTTTTTGGGTTTTTTTGATCTCAATATTATAGTAATAAAGCAATGGAAAAGTGAAATATATTGTGAGCTCCAAGATAAATATAAGGTTTTTTCGTTTATAGTATTAGTTCCTAATCCATTGTTAAGTGCATGAACAAAATTTTGAAGGGTTTAAAGATTTGATGCAATTATAAGGCATAAATTTGAAGGTAAATTAGACGAGCCCTTTGCAGGAATCATTATATTCACAAATTAATTATATTAAGGTTTGCTTTTCTAACAGATTTATGGCCTCTTTATATATTCTACAATCAATGATAATAATCGCTTTTTAATTTCAAATTTATAATCAAATATTAATAAGTCATGAACTTATCAGTTGTTACTTGTTAGGATAAGTAAACAAATCTGAAACAGTAATAGAAACTATAATAAACAACTAAACAGAAAGTTCACGCAATGTTCGTTTAATTACGATAACAATTATGTTGAAAACATTTGAACTCTGAAGGGATTGTCAAAACTTACTTTTAGTATCCTTATCAGTTATCAGAAGTTTAGTATATCGTCAAACTGACTTTACAAAGTTTTTTTCTTTTCCATTCATAGAGCTGCTCTTTTATTATCATTTACTAGCTTTCCGCTCGCAGCTTCGCCCGCGTAGAGTTCGAATACATCGCGTTTCCAAGAGAACCTTTCAAAAGTCTGGGATAAAAACTATCCTATGTTCTTTCTCAAGGTCAATTCTATGTCTGTACCAAATTTCATTAAAATCAGTTCAATGGTTTAAGCGTGAAAGCGTAACATACAGACAGACAGACAGAGTTACTTTCGCATTTATAATATTAGTAGGGATGAACGAAATACTGTAAACTCCGCGTACGTAGTTTAACAACACGTAGTAAGTCTAAGACTTGTCATAGTATAACTTACACTCTGTGTAGCCAGGATCTGTAGCTGAGGATCTGTGGACTCCAATAACTTCTGAACCATTTTAAGGAAGCTCTCCACGAACAGGTTGAGGGTCTGCGAGTGACAGGCCAACAATAACTGGTCCATAGCCTCCATAGCAATTATCACGAAACTGGAAAAATGAGCTTGTCTTGTTATGTAATGTTTTATTGAATTTATTATTATTGTTTTTTAATTTAAATCTTGATTTACTACAAGTATTATATTTTGCATGATGTGATAGCCTATAATTAAAAGGACATATAAGTTATTATTAATAGTTTGATAATGAAATGAATGTAATAATTTTTTCTTTTGTTGGGTATCCAAATAAAATAAAAAATATAATTACCATAAATATTAACGTTATAAAAATCTCTTATATAGTCGGGGATAGTGCAAATCTGCGTAATTAGCATTGGATAATTCCGCGTATCTGCGAAGGAAGCAGATTATCAGAAGAAAGTTTGAGCTGAAAATTTTTCTAAATTAACGACTTTTAAGGTAATGTTTAATTTATTACTAATTGTGAAAAAATATCTATAAAAGTCGTTAATTCTAAACTTCTGATAATCTGCTTCCAACGTAGATACCCGGAATTATCCAATGGTAGCTGCGCGGATTTGCACTATCCCCGACGATAGGTAACCTTTAAGAGGTGTCGTAAATTCGTGACCCTGATTAAATAATATTACATTATCACTTCATTTCATTTTCTCGTGAAGAATAAAGCAACAATTTCTCTATTATTTTCAACCCTTTGAATCCCCAGTACTACAACAAGTTTTTTGCAAGCAAAGTTTAATATCCCAGTTGAGTATAATGGACCAACCACTCGACTAGCTGAATGAGGCAGCTCTTAGGGGAGGGTTATTTAATTATTTTTAATGGTTTGAATACTGACATGTTGCGTATAATTGTTGGCAAGGATGAATCTTTTTATTCATACTTTTAAGTTCATCTATGTATATCCTAAGATTAAAGTATCCTATATTTTTTGTTAATGTTCCACCTATGTCTGCTTCATTTATTTAATACTTCTGTCATATCTATTGACATTAGTGTCACGAACATATTCCGCGATAAGATTTAATAATACTTTAAATCGATGTAATCCAACATCAATAGTACTTCAAAGTTACGTAAAATTGTAACACTAGTAAAGTTAGTGGGTGTAAATAGGGTTTACTAATTAATTTGGTAATATGTAACCAAAAATAACAAGACTATGTAAATAATATATATTTTTTTACGACAAAGGGGGCAAACGAGCAGACGGCCTACCAACCGTCGCCCATGGACATCCGCAAATACGCCTTTTTTGGGGAAAAGGGAGGGTATAGGGTGGGAAAACGGAAGGAAAGAGAAAGTGCAACTGGTTCTCTCACTCATCGGACGAAACGCAGACATATAAAACTACTTCACGCCGATCTTCTGTGAGAGGGTGCTACTTCTACATATCTATAGTTTCAGTTAAAAAAGTCTTACCCATGCCGTCGTCTATATATATCTCTGGCGGCTTTCTGGAACAGGTACTCCCCGATCCTATCCAACTTCTCTGGACTGGAGAGCGAGTAGAAGGTGAGTTTCTCCATATTGGACTTGACCAGCCCATCCTGAGGGGACGCGGGGAAGATGTTGTCCACAAGCCGCTTGTATCGAGGACGTAGAGCGGAGCAACAACCACAGCAACCTGGGAAAAAACCACCATGAAGTTTGGACTCTGATTGGTTGGATTTAATCTAGTGACGATATTTCCACCAATGGGTTTACCGGATTTTTAAAATATGAAGTAATAAAACAATACTAAATTTGGGTGAAAATATTTCCACCAATAGGATTACCGGATTTTTTAATATGAAGTTGAGAAACAATACTAAATTTGAATGAAAATATTTCCACCAATAGGATTACAGGATTTTTTAAATATGAAGTAGGTAATAAAATTAATACTAAATTTGGGTGATGATATTTCCACCAATAGAATTACAGGAATTTTATAAAGTTAAGAATCAATACTGAATTTGCAAAATAATTCAAATTTGTGAATGACAGTATCTTACTTGAGATATATGAGTTATCATGACGACTCAACATTTTTGTTTTAAAGCATGACTCGTTAAATATAACTAAGCATCGTTATTTATATTTCGATACTTGTGTAAAAATTATATTTAATTGATTTAATTATAATAATATATTTTTCCAAATTATATTGTTTATAATGGTCATCAATGTAATATATCACATTCTTTGATATAAGAAATTGTTAAGAGAAGAAATCTTTGAAAAGAAGGTTTAAAGAAAGATTATGGTTAACAAAAATCCTTTCACTATTTCAAAATTATACATCCGATTACGTAGTTCCCGTTCTATTTATAATTTTATTAACAATTTCACAAATAATAAATCTATATTACGCGAAGACAGTTCTGATAAGTTTTATACTAAATATTTTCTTTGTTACTCCCATAAAAGATTAACCATACAGCAGAACTGTAATTTTAACTGATTTTATAAAATACCCAACACAATAATTAAACTTGCTCACATGAGATAATTTTCGACTAGTCGTAAGCCAAAAATGCTTTACATTAATTTGGAAAAAAAAGCTAATATAACACTGTTGAATTCGCTAGAAAACTGGCTTGCAATTGAAAAAAAACTGCATTGAAATCGGCCGATCCGCTTGAGAATTACGATGACACAAATAGATTTACACGCACACGCACACACACACACACACACACACACACACACACACACATACACCACATCATAGTAATAAAGCCCCTGTTTTCTTGTCGGGGGTTAAAAATATTGGGATAACATAGGGGCAAACTCAAGATAACCCGCATATTAAAAACCGCTCATCTTAACTGAGAATAATTTTCTACTAAAGCACATACACTCATAAAAATAGTAAGCATATTTAATATATTTCATGTCACTAAAAAAACGCGAAACTTTCTTATATTCAACTAAAAATATTCGCATTTTCAAATACAAATAAACAAATAGAGCAAAGGGCCTTCAAAAGATTAGCTAGTGGCCCATCGAGTTTTTCGGGAGATGTCCTTTAGATCAAATAAAAGAATTTTTTAGTGACCCAAACAGTTTTTGGTCACTCTTTGGAAACCAGAATTCAGAAATCCTAATTAATACAAGCGTTAGTTTATACATTATTATAACTAGATTATCTTGATTCTTGAACATCGCCGTGTTAATTGTTTACTCACATGTCATGTACACCGTACGACTGATGACGAAGCATGCTCGGTGGACGATCTTACGCATTGGTAACATGTGGCTACGATCACACACAATAAAAACACTTCACATAACACAGGTATAGTAATGACTAATAGAACTGATCGTCTTAACCTTTTATTTTGTTATCTTACTCTTGTGATTTTATCGGTAAGAAACTTAATAATCTTTTGATTTAATAGTGATATGTTTAAGTATGTTAGCGTGAATATAATTATGGTAAGCAATAGTTGTTTACGATGTACTTAAATGTGTTATGTTACGTGCGTTACCCACGTGCGGAGAGACGGGTTTGAGATTGTGATAACATATTGATAAGAGAAGTCGAGTGTGACGAGCCTCGCATGATTGGTTCGCAACACACTTGTCTTAGAAAGTTATTTATTGATAATGTATACAACACTGCAGATCCTAACTATACATACGTGAGGTTTATATGTACCGATTTTATATTACCGTGAAAAATAATTAAATCACTATAAAGGTACGAGATTAGAGGTAAAAGTATTTGGTAACAAAAAAACAGTAATATTCAAATCATAAGATTTTGTAAAAGTTGTATTCTTTAAATGATATATCATATAGGGACTTGGCGAAGAATTTGCAGTAAAGACCAGTATATCATGAGAAAGTAAGAGATCAAAATCTGTTCCTATCATTTCTATGAAGAACGAATAGTTGAACTGTATGTGTAAACATTATTAATCATCAAGATAGTCATGATTTTATCCACAGCGTAGGGCAATAGGCCAAGTCACGTACGATACAGCTGTGCTGGAAAGCAAATATTTTCAAATAATATTATTTCCATAAATTTATTTATATTATTCTTCACATCTTTAAGATTTTCGATGAAATCTACCACACCTTTCCAACCTTCGCACTATGTAACAATTTAAGTATAAACATATATTTGTCAAAATTTAAGTATGTATAAACTTTAATTTCTGGGATTAACATTGAAGGGAATATTATATTACAGACAACGACGTGATCCCTCAATAATCCTATTAAAAATTAATTCTGTGGGAGCGCTGTACGAATAATAAAATTACAGTTTACGGCAAAAATTTTTGGATATTTACTAAATAGTAAATAAAAATATTTTTATTTATAATTCTATGAACATCGGGATTTACAGAATCAAGTAATTTATCATTCAAACTATATATTGAAACACGTAACAACTAAACATATTTGGCGGATAATAAGCAGTTAAATTTAATTTAGGGGATTATAACCCCTTTTAAATGTGAATTAGTTAGTACGTATTATATGTATATACTATTTTACTAATACTGGATTCTTAAGAAACCAATAGAGAATAACAAAACAAATAATAAATTGTAAATAACATACGATAAACGTATGTTAACTGCACAGAATAATATAGTCAACATATATTTTTAAAGCCATTAATACCGCAAAATACTTTCACGGGTTACTACATAGAAATCCTACACGGTCAGCTGTTACAAGAAGATCACCCCCCACTGTACTACTACTGCGCAACGTTCTGTAATGCGACATGCGACAGGTGAAAGAAAAATAACGCCATGAAATGAAAAAAATACAAATTTTCAATTCAACGCATACATACCTACGTAAATATCTTAATATGAATATGTAATCAAAGCAAATTAATATGTTTTACTTAAAGTTTATCTCTTTAATATTACTGTGTAATTAGTAAAATGGCAAATACCCAAATAATGTTGGGTTTTCTAAATAGAGACGATCCCAAATAAGTTCCGCACGAGCTTCATCACAATCGAAAGGTTACGTACATATTTGTACCAATTAATTGTTGTCTTATTCAATAGTCAATACTAGTTTTCGTCCGCGTTTGTTTAGAAATTAGTGACATGTTTAAACTATGTATAAAGCTGACCGGGCGAACTCTATTCTATAGAGGCAGTAAAAAGAAAAAAACTTAATATTGGAATTTATTCAGTTTTGTTTTTTCTTTTACCATAGAATAGAATGAAATATCATATGGCCATCACCTTGTTCTAAGCTATCTCTCCGCCAATTTTTAACTATATCCCTACAGACTTTCTTGACTTATATACCTATATGTGTGTATATTGTTACATAGAACCATCATGAAAATTAAATTATATAACATATATTATATTTTTCTATAAATTCACAGTTATTCAGAGCTAGTATCATAACGTAAATAGAAGCCAAATCGATTTCATCCCAGTAACTTATGAAGGGATGTCGCCCTGACATTCAATGGCCTATATCTAGAAATAGATTATTGATGGAGGTCGGATGTAACACCGGTGACATTTACTGAAAATGTGCAAGTCTACTATGAGACTAGTCTACAAGTATATGATATGATGAGACTAGTCTATATAAGTCTATGATGTGATGAGACTAGTCTATGATAGAGACTAGATGTTTTTTATCATGAACATTACCAAAAACCACTTTACTTATGATAATATAGAGAAGTACTCGTATCATTTTTCATCAAATTTGATATTTTAATCTGTATGAATCATTTTGGGTAACAGTTTATTTATCTAGTTTAGGAATCTTTGATTTTATTATGAATTTATTCTCGTTATAACAATTTCAAAGTGTATAGATGTAAAAAATCTTGTAAATTAATACAAATTTTAAATTAAATATCCATCTACGAATGAGGATAGTTTTTTTAATTCAATAAACTTATTTAAATCATCTTTTTCTTCCCGGACAGGTTGAAAGAAAGTAATTTAAATGATATTTGTTGAAATGACAATAAGAAATAATTATTGTTTATTTAAAAGAAAAACGAATTTATTTTTAATAAATTATATCTCCTCATACATTACGCGATTCCATAAATAGAAAACGTCAGAAATTATTGACTCATTACAATTTATTATATGTTCATATATTACTTTAGCTTGTCATTTTTAATACGTTTCAAATGCTTTTCATGTAAATAATATTTAAATATTTTTTATGTCCGCAAAGACTTGAAACAAATCCTATGTTTAGTATCTTTAGATGCAGATATTAAAAAGTAATGCGTGTTAATAAAGTCATTGAAATTATTTATAAAATAAACAAAACGCAATTGACATTTTGTGTTCAAACTTTTGTGACGTCACACATCACTATCACTCACAACTGGTTTAAAACGATTTGTAAAATGTAAACTCATTAAATATTATAACTTATTACTTAATGAAAACCGTTAAAGTCACACACACAACACGTCCGCACGCCAAGGACGAACTGAAAACACTGAGGAAAGCTAATAAGCTATTCTATATTTAAATTCTCTACTCCCTAGGACTGAAATACAGTGACACTTGAAAAGTGAAAGTGTACCCGGCTCATACTAAGCCATTTGTAAATCTTGTGGTTATAATTCTTTTATATGTTATTTCTAAATGAGCTTATACAGGAAACTCCGGTGGTCGAAGTATGACTAAAAATAACACAATAATAACCAGAAATGTTTTATCTTTCTTATAAATACGCTGATATACTGAGTATATTATTTGAATTAATAATTTGTTTTAATTTGCTTTAACAGCGTCATCGGAAGAGTAAATGTATATTACTACATACTGGGACAAAGTTATATTTAATTTTCCCATAAGAACTATTTGAAATTCCTCTTATTTTGTAAAATTTGAAAGGTAATCTTAGTTATGCATATAACCTAGATGCACAATATTTATAAGTCCAATGGCTAAATCGTTTTCTAGAAATAAACAACACAGTTATAAAATATTGTGCTTTAAATATTTTTTAAATAAATATTAAAAAATGTTTTGAAATGAGTCTCATTACACTAATATACCTTAAATAATTAAAAGGCAATTAGTAACATTGATAACCAATAGTGTGCAAGATAATATACTAAGAAATCTATAGATTCAGTGAGACATAAGGAAAATTTTATATTTTATAACTTTATAAACAGTTCATAGTAAACAACACAAAAGCCATTAAACAAAATTTATTTTTAAGCCCCACAAAGATGGAGTTGTAAATAACATATGTGTAAAGAAAATGGTTTAAATATGATAATATTAATATATTGGCACATACCAATGTGATTTTTCTAAGTCATAGGTACTTTCTAAGAATATTTAGTCACCACTGACAGACGGTGAAGGAAAACATCGTGAGGAAACCTAAACTTATAATTTCACAATTATAAGTTTGAAATCACCAACCCATCTTGAGCAAGTGTGGTGATAAATGCTCAAACCTTCTCCATGTGATGAAGAGGCCTTTACTCAGCAGTGGGCTCTGATAGGCTGATAGCGACAATGACAAAAGCATTATAAAAAACCAAATAAATTACATTATAATGATAAATTATACTTATAATTATTCTTTATTGTGAGAACAAAGTTTATTTAATTACTTCCTAAGTTCAAACTTATGTCTATTTTTAATCAACTTATGGTTGTCTTACTCACACAATTCACCATCTTGAGTCTGAATGAGGCTTTATAAAATTTAAAAGAAATGCTATATTTTAATTTTCTATATTTTACTTCTTCTAAATAAATGAGTATGTAAAAGTAATAAAAATTTTAAAACAAAAAACTTGAATAAAAAAATATTTAAATGATGAGTTTTGATCATTGTAGTCAAATTTAATTGCAAACATTGTGATTAGAATTTGTTGTTGTCATTAAATTGGTCTCTAAGCAACATGAACTTGACAACCCTATTGTAGACCAACTAAATATCTTTAGCAATTACTAATTAGTATTGAGATTAATAAAAAACAACATTAATATGAGATATTTTTATTATTCAGTTATAATCTAATGTTTTCTCTTTTCATCCCTGTCTCTTACTTTCGATCGGTCATAATCATTATACTTTCTAGATGATCCGCGGTTCCTTTTGTCGTCAAGTCGCCTTTCCCGAGACCTGTCTAAATCTCTGTCCCTCGATCTCGACTTGTGTCGCTTGCTGGAGTACTCTCTCTTTCTATCATATGGTGATCTGGATCTCCTCTCTCTTTTCTTGTGGCTGCTGTGATATTTTGAGGATAGTGGTGGTGTTTTAGGTGATTTATCTTTCTTAATATCTCTTTTTGACTCTTTAGATGTAGAAGCCGTCGGTGAAGTCGCTTTCTTCTCTTCAATCTTTGCATCTCTCTCCTTTTGTGCTTGTATGTGTTTGTTTGCTTGATAAACCTTTCTCAATGCATCCACTTTAGATTCCAATTCTTCGGGGTTAACTTTTGGTCGTTTATATAATTGAAGGATTCTTATACACACATTTCTAATGTCATCTTCAGTAACTTTGAATAGCTGGAACCAGTGTGGGTTATTCGGTAAAGGTAATCCAATTTTCCGAGCCGTCAAATATATACAGGCACAGGCAATAGTTTCAGGTGGAAACCTCATGAAGACATCTGTCCGGAGTGCATCATTCATATAATTCCAGGCCATTTGCATTAGCTGCTTGTTTTCTTCATACTGTAAGAGCTGAAGGTACACTACGATGAGCTTATGAGGGTGCTTCACATGAACACAGAACCCTAACTCCTTCAAAATGCGCCTCTCCGCTTTAATAACTTGATTCTTGAGTTCAATATAATTTTGATCGACTATTAATGGCGATATCGTCCTTTGAGCTCTAACTTGTTTGATATGATGAAAAACATTGATTACATCACGTATTCTGCAAGGTTTTTCTTCGACCTTGGACGCTAAGTAGATACTGCCCATAGCGGTTGTTTCCATGGGATAACGAACGAAAGATTTTGAATAGTAAAACCTTTGTAAATACATTTGCCCGGTAGCCATAGCTACTTGAGGTAGTTTAAGTAATATACCCGCCGTTTGTATCATCTCACACCCGAGGATACGCAGATCCGTCTCTGTTTCAAAATCCAGGCCATCGGTCTGGGAAGGAGTTTCCTTGAACGCAGTCTCAGGCAATAAACAGTTATGTAAAGTGAGAACTATCTTCCCGTAAGTTTTTGGCTGCTTCCCCTGCGCCCCATTATTGGTTTTAGTTTGATTTTGCACGGTCGTAGTAGTCATAATTGTGTCATTTATCGACCCGTTACACGTAACTTAACATTCACACAGTAAGATAAACAAAAGTCACCACATATCAGTTTTAATTCACTAATATTATAAATTTCACTTGAAGCTTGGGTTAGAAAACGCGACAAAATGACAGTCTGAATACACAAAACCAAGATGGCCGACGCGGAAACATATGTCAACTCGCAACAGTATTAGAGCGATATAAGTTAATAAGATAGAAAAAAAGCTAATCTAAACTCACCTTGAGCCATTTTCTTCAATTAAATTATATCTTTAACCAAAGCGGTTTCCTACCATAACATTAATTAAGAAAAGGGCGTTAATTTATCTGACTCACAAATCGACACTTTTTTAGTGTTTTGGTTTCGTTGCAAGGGGAAACGTCAAAGTCCATGAAGTTTTTTATAGATTATGCAAATACTCTATCCATTTAAATTTCTATTTTTTCAATTATTATAATATATTCATTATAGGAATATGATTGTATACGTAACATATTTTTCGTTGCCTAAAAATTTTAATATTTCCTACGTTTCAGAACGAAAACGGAAGCCTATTCCTATAACAATTTGGCGGCACTGTATAAAGAAAGCATTTATGAATTAATCAATAAAGTAGTTTGACAAAATAGGGATTAGAGCTAAACGTGAAGTATGTGAAGGTAACATGCTTAATTTGATTACCTCTACTATACATAACACCAATCTTACACAATAAAATAAGAAAAGAAAAGAAATCGACTTACATCCAGGATCTGTGCACTTTTGAATAAAAGAATCCAGGAAATCATGACCCTCGCCAGCCTCAAAACAACATTTCACGAAAGACATATTTATATTTGCAATATAACAGTATTAAAAAATAAACTCTTGATAACGCTTATAAAAATTATCTTTAAATATTTATCATAAATAAATATCGCAGCGATAACAACAGACTACGGTTCAGATCGAGATGTTGAAAAATTTGTTTAATTTGTCTTTAGAACAGAGTACAGGTATAAAAAAATAGTCGAATATAAAAAATATAAACAAGGTCACACAAAAACAACAAATTCAACAAGATACATATAAAGATTTGTATTGCTTCACTTTGTACACATAGTTCTTAAAATTATCACAACAACAGAATTAGGTCAAATAATATATCATGTTTGACTAGCCTATACCTAGCAGAGCTAGGTAATAGGTATTGCAGAACATCAATGATTCAAGAATATGAACTGGGTAACCCGGCTAAATTAAAAAGTATCAAATACTACTGAACTATTCTAGAATAACGACATCTTTATTTGGAGGTGTAATGCGCTGTAATTTTCAGTGATAGGTAACATTACGCAGCTTCTTTAGTTTAAAAGTCTACCGACAGATGGCTTTAGGTTTCCTATACAATTCAATAGATGGCGTGAACTTGGATTAAAAGTATATTTGGATGTTGATGTATTTCTAAAACTAAAAAGACGAGATGTTTACAAAAGTTTTCATCTAATATTGCACATATTTGAAAGTTTCATGTAATAAGAAGAATAAATGCAAATTGGGTACATATTGGTACATTAAGGTGATGGTGAACTCAGAATTGCTACTTAATTAAAGACAGGTGAAAATTAGGAAGCTAAGTGAAGGAACCATCGGGTTCTCGTAAAAGGGAAAGGGATTTAAGGTTTCCGGCACACGATGAGCGATTAAAACATTGTTTACGTCGATTTTCTATTAACTGTACTCTTACGTAACATTGGACATTTGAAGAAAGGAATACAAAAATCTGTATATACGTGTTGTTTAGACATGAATGTTATTTCAAAGACCATATCAGAACAATGCCCATATTATTGCTATTTTTACTATAAATAAATAATGTTGTACTGTTGATAGATAACAAAAATTATATGAAATTAAATAGTAATGAATTCTTCTAATGTTATATATCCAATTATAATAATAATAAGCATATTAGGCAGTATCAAGTGTATTGTTGAGTTCTCGAAACATTTCGTGACTGCACCGAATACCGCAGTCGAGTGGATATTAAATAATGTACAGATATTGTTGTTTTCAATCCGATAGCCGTTTTAATATGGGTAAAGATAATATATTAAATGTCTTATAGATTATTATATTGACTTTCATAATAAAATATGTGTTATTTTATTAATTAATTACATGTTGTCCTTCTAGGTTTTTATGTATGTAATATTTTATTATTTTAAATATGGCAAAAGGTGTTAAATTTTCGTGAGTCCGGAAAATACGAATCTTAAAATAATCATCATGTAGCACCTACTAACGATTTGAAGTATAGCTAAAGAAAAGTGAAGGATATTTAATATTTAATATGAAAACCGATACAAATGGCCCTCCTAAGATTATTATTAGTTAAGTAAGTTCTAGGTAAGTAATTAAAATCGAAAGTCCATATTAAATTGATCGACAAAGAAAACAATTTGATTCCTATCACAATCTCTTAAAAAGTAAAACCTTAAATAATTTCACTGTTTTTTTATTTTATTCAATAAGTTGTTTTCCTCGCAGCACGACCTCATGCGAAATTATTCGCAATTTTAAGACGTAATATAGACTGTAGAGTCGCCGTTTTAAGTTTTAAGTCATTCACTGCTTGTGTTGTGTTCAGTGATCAGTCGACCTCGGGCTACTGAGAGGAATGGTTGTCAGGTAGCCATTTTGTATGTGTCAAACTTCGCGCCAAGTGTTGTGATCACAACTGTTTGTCACTCATTTAGTGCAACGAACGTATTTATTTGCAGATTTTATTAAAGTGTTAAATCATTAGATATTTTATCGTATAGTTTCTTATTACGTCTGTGATAAGTGAGTGCTTTTTTTCTTTAGCTTTTCGTCTCATTGCCGGATGAGTTTTTTGGGTGAGTTTGTGTTATATCAAATTTATTGAAGTATCAAGTTAAGTATGTGACTCGGTCCTACTTATTCATGTATATATATAAATATTATATAATATAGATTTTATTATGAATAATATTGTCATTACACAATACCTTAATAGGTTCTCGCCGTAACCTTTACGATCGGATTGAAAGTTAGTTGTGGGTTTATTCATCATTTGTTCTTATTGACGTCATTCTTAAAAACTTATATTTACATTTTTTATATTAAAAACAATCCCAACAAACCGGATTCATGTTTAATCGAAGCTTAATTAAATACGTATCACTACAGATAATGCATATACAATATTATATAGTATAATTTTTATTACAACAAGATTTTTCTCGCTATATCCGTGTTGTTTTAATATATTTACGATGTCGGCATGTAAAAACAGACGTCATTATAGTTATAAGACGAAGTTACCTTAAACTTATATTAAAAGAAAATATGTCAATACAATTTAAGATTAGTCAAGTGTCTGAAAACGTGAAATAAACAAAAGACTGTATAATCGAATTGACATGAAAATAATTGATATTTATTTGCGACCGGGAACAATTAATCTAGGTACATCACTTTTTTTTAACGTAATTCAAATTATGTTTGTGTATTAAGAAATTGTGATTTAATGTATGTATAAATGTATATAATATACACTGCCGGCCAAAAGTTTGAGACCACCCTCATCAAAGTATGAAAATGAAATAAAACTCAAAAAAATACGAAGTAAGAGGTTTAATTAATAATTAACATACTTATACATTCTTCCTACACATACCTCAGGAAGAAAAAAAAAATATTTACATCAAAAATGCCGTTAATATTTAAACAGATTTTTCATCAAAAAACCCTCCCTTGCATTTTATTACTTTTTTCACGAGTCTTGGCATACGACCAATCAATTTGTCGATTGTTTCTTGTGAAATATTGTTCCAGCTTTCTTGTAAACTCCTCCACATGTCCTCTTGCGAGGAGGGGCAACAACTGCGTACATTTCTATCAAGCTCTTCCCACAAAAGCTCGATCGGGTTGAGATCCGGGCTCTGAGGGGGCCACACCATGTTTTTTAACACTCCTTCTGTTTCTTTATCTTCTAAATAACCCCTGCATAATTTTGAACTATGTTTAGGATCATTATCTTGTTGGAAAATAAAACTATTTCCAATTAATCTTACACCAGACGGAACGGCATTTTGGTGTAGTATTCGTTTGTACTGCTCCTTTTTCATAATTCCTTCGACTCGTACCAAATCTCCGGTTCCATAGCCCGAGAAGCATCCCCAGACCATAATAGAACCACCACCATGTTTGACGGTTGGCACCACACAGTCTGGCATCATCTTTTCCTCGGCGCTACGTCGAACAAAAATTCGTCTCTTAGATCCAAATATTTCAAATTTGGATTCATCTGTCCAAAGAACTTTTTTAAAGTCTTCTTCAGTCCAGTCTCGATAGGTAAGGGCCCACTGCAACCGTTTCTTTTTGTTTTGTGGCCTTAGTAGTGGTTTTCGAACGGCAACGCGACCAAATAAGTTAGCATCTCTCAATCGTCTTTTTACTGTAGTCAGTGATACAGGTTTAGACCGGGATTTGTTTACTTCTGCACGGATTTCGGGTGCTGTTAGGCGTCTATTCCTCTTGCTGGTAACGACGATAAATTTATCCTCGCTAGAAGTGGTAGCTCTCGGCCTTCCCGATCGCAAACGATCTCGATAACTGCCAGTCTCCTTGTATCGGGCTATTGTGTTATGAACACAAGTCTTCGACAACTTAAGCTGAGAGGCAATCGCACGTTCAGATTTACCTTCGTTGTGTAAAACAACTATGGTACAACGAGTTTCACTGCTAATTTCGCGCACTTTACCCATTTTAAGTGGTTTCTTTAACAGTGACGAGCTCAGACTAACCAAAACTTAATTTTATAAAAACTCAGGTAAAAAATATGTTATAGAAAGCGAAAATAATCCTGAACATATGTTTTTTAGAAAGCTAATATAATCCTGAACTTGAAACAAAACCGAAATTATTAGTAATGAGCAGCTCATAAAAATATTACAATGACTCTACCATCTGGTCCATGCGCGG